TGTGTTTCACCTCACCTGTGGAATGACTTCTCCAGAGAAATAAGTGTAGCACCAAGCATAATTATTTCCACAGGCTTTGCAGAAAATATGCTGAGTTGGTTCTCTCTGTTATCAGTGAATGTGTATCTCTCTCTGGCTTTAGATTGTGATCATTCTACTGTTTCTCTTATTAAAATGATTTTCAAAAATTGTATCAGTCAATATTGTTAGCAGTATCTTTCTGTGTTTTGTTTTAAATGGTGTCCTGGAAATTTACTAAGCAGAAGGATCTTAGTAGATTAAGAAAATCTGGTACTATATATAACATAAACGTTAAATGAACCGAGTATGAAGTTACCATGAATCGTTCAAAAGCTGTGCTTCACAGAGTCATTATGAAAAAGCAATTGTTACATAGCTCAAAGGATTGAAATCTCAAGTTAGATTAAGCATTAATAGGGTCGGGTCCAGAAGAAAATCCCTTGATGGAGCCCTACGTATGAGTATTCTACTAGGTAAACAGGCTGTTTTAGGATAAAATGTGTACTCATAGCCACTTAGTGTAGGCAGAATCTATGGAATCAAAGTAGAGACAAATGCCCAAAGGCTTCCCATAGTGAATGTACGGTGCTCTTGCCACATAACAGCATCTTTGTTCTTGTTCAAAAAGCAGCAGCACACTAACATGTGGTTGTGATGCAATGCTTCTACAGCACAGCTTTTTCCTTGCACGTGTACACAAATGCTTTTTTGCTTACAGTCACACTCCATGACATTTAGCAGCCTACACAGTGGGGCAGAAAATCCTGGAAGTGGGAATTTGACAGCACTAATTCAGAAGACAATTATATTCAACTGTCAGACACAAGGCATTATGAATGGAAACAAAATTTTATTTGGAGAGTGGATACCGAATGCATTCCCCATGCTACACAACAGTTGGATATGGCTTTCAGTAAATGTAGATTTATGTAAAACAGTTGCCAACTTATTTTTGTTATGCAGCATCTTATGCATACATCACCATGAGATTTTGCTAAGCAAGCCATAACAAACAGTCTTCATTATTCAAACCACTGTCAGAGAAAGGCAATTTCTGGCCTTCCTCTTTGTATATGCTTTGCAAGGACAGCAGAAAACCTTGGCATTGTAAATTCAGTATTCCAACTTAGGGCATCTATTGCACCAACTACTGTTAAAGGTTGTGCAAACCCTCTGCCCTGGTTTGCACAATCACTGCAACCCTGCCCACAGACATCAGGCTTCCTTTTCAGACCTTGGTCTGTTCTGTCATAGAACCTGGGTGATAGAGGTCAACTGAGTTTAACATTCCATAGATAACCTGAAGAATGTTGTATGATTATTTGAAGGTTATTTAACAATCATGGGGACCCTGTACCTGTGGTTTCAACTGGCTGCCTGTCCAAACCACAACACATGTGACTTTAAATAAGCCATGGTGGGCTGCAGTGATTGTGTAAACTGGTTCCATCATTGGCTTTCAGATAGCTGGGGAACAGATGTGATGGCTGTTTTACTTGCATCCCCGGAGAGCTAGAACATTTCTTATGTGAACTTGGTATGTAGATGACCATCTCCCTGTACCGACCATGGACTGTGCAAGAGAACTGGATGGTATGGAAAGGAGGCCAACCTTTCTGTAAAAAACAAAACTGTGGATAATAGAAAATCCAGATGGAAAATGGGAATTAAACAAAAAACAATTCTAGGGGTAAAGTTCTGCCTGGAAAGGGTGGCCAAGTACTGTGTGTGTCTATCATGTATCTCAACTGAGGGACCAGCAGTGCCACCAAAATACAACACAAAACTTAGACAGGAAACATAATTAATAAAATATAGTGTGGACAGAACAGGCAAAGAACAGTTCAGCCTAATCTCTGCAATTAGAAACACTGCCCAGCTGAAAAGCAGGCAAAAATTTGCTTGGTTTGGGCTCCTGAAAATTAAACATGTCTGTTTGTACCCCAAAGGGCAAAAGCTGATTGGCTGGGCAAGTGTCTTCTAGATGGTGCTGGACTGCACTTCCCATTGTCCCTCAGTATTAATAATATTGGCTAGGACTGATAGGAACCGGAATCCAAGAGGAACTGCAGGAGCACATATTCCTTAATTTCATCTCAAACTGATAGCACAAATGAAATGTTTGTTAAAAGACACATACTGAAATGATACATACTAGCTTTCTCTACTGTCTTGTAAGCATGCTTGACTCCAATTCGGATCAGCAACATGGCACTCTGGTTCCTGACTCCTAGCTGAACAGATCAGAGGAAGCTGCCCAGCTGATATAGGAACTCTGGGATACAAGCAGCCAGGTTCCCAGAGCGAACCAACAGAGAGAACAAGCAGGAGTTATGTGGCAGAGTTCAGTGGGGGAAGTGAAGGGGGAGGTCCCTAACATTTTTTTCTTTTTTCTCCCCCACTTAGTTTTCTTCCTTGTAAAATACTCCCATTTACTGGTAAGACTGTGTTGTTAATGTTCAGAGAAGAAAGGAGGAAGGCACTGGTTGCTACAACAGGCCCCACAAGGTAGACTCAAAAAGGTAGCAGACAGGATGCACTGAGAAGACTCCTCAGTGGTGGTGACACTACAACATCCATGCCATGCCTGTTTTCTTGCCTGAGGGCAACATGGCCTACACATGCGACAAGTGCAGACTAGAGAAAAGGTGAGAGCACTAGGGCAGTGAAGGTCCAATCTCAAGGTAATGAAAGAAGGTGAAGAGTTTTCTGACAGACCAGTGGAACTGCAACAGCTAAGAGTAGTACAGAAGCAGGACGCACATCAACAAGCTGAGGCACAAGAAGAAAACCCCGAGGGAAGGGAAAATGAGGAGGAAGCTTTCTGCAAAAGGGTGAAAGTTAGGTGCAGAAGAACTAGAAGACAGCCTGCACCACTGGAAGCAGTGGAATTATGGAACTGCTTTCAGTTACTTGAGGATGAGACTGGAGTGCAGCCTGCAGTGCAAGAATTGCAAGTCATCCTGTGCAACACTGAGCAAGACGCTAAAGGTCAGCTGAGTAATGGCAATCATGCCAAGGCTTGCAAGAACAAGAAGAGCAGAATGCTGGCTGTGGGAGACCCCTGTTGCATGGGATGGAAACACATGTATGTCAGGAAGACCCATGGACTCGTCAAGTATGCTGTCTCCCTGGAAGACACATTAGTGGTATAACTGAAAGATTGCTAAGGCTCATACAGCCCACTGAAACACATCCCTTCCATCTTATACATGTGGGAACAAACTGATGAAATCTCACCAGACTTTGAAGCTTTGGGGAGGAAAGTCAAGGTCTTTGGGGCCCAGAGTTTTCTTTTCAATCCTTCCAGTTTGTGGAAGAGGAATAGACAGGGAAAGAATACTCCAAGTGAGTGCCTGGCTGCAAAGGTGGTGCTGACATGAGAGATTTGGTTTCTCGGCCCATGGGCTACACTTCTTGGAAGGAAGACTGCTGGCAAGGGATGAGCTGTACCTTACAAGGACTGAAAATAATGTATTTGGCCATGGCATGAAGTTTATTGGCAGGGCTACAGGGGAGGGAGAAGTACACCTGGGTGTAAGAACAGGCAAAGGTGGCCTAGGAAGGCCTTGGCAGTTATAGGCAGCTTATAAATACATGTATGTATGTATACATAAATAAAGGCTTATCAACCACAATTGAGAGAGCAGCTCCAACACTGCCCAATAATAGTCTTCCAAAAAATGTAGGAAGAGTATAAAGCACGTGGTCTTCCAAGTCTATATATGCCCAGAGTATGGCAAACAAGCAGCATGAACTCTTAATACAGGAGGGTGAATACAACCTGATATATGTAACTGAAACTTGTTAGAATGACTCTCATAAATTGAATTCAACAACTAAGGATATAACCTGGTCAAAAGGAACAGAAAGGGAGGTGGAGTCACACTATATGTTAAAGATACATATCTGCGCAGAAATACAGGAAGATGAGCTTAGTAGCCCCATCAGGAACATCTGGATTAATATAAATTGAACAAGGAATAAAAGGAACACAGTAGCTGGAGACTCTCACTGACCATCCAGTCAAAGTGAAGGCAAGGATAAAAAGGTTTGAAAGTAGGGGTTTGAACTTAGTGGCCATCTGTCCCCTTCCAACTCTATTATTCTAGGATTCTGTATTTTGAGGGAGGTGGTTTAAAGTTTTCCCCAATTTTTAGTGAAATTCCTCCTCCACCCTGTGGAGGGAAGGGTTAAAAGAAAAAAAGCTTCCATTTATTTCAATTTGGATATTTTTTCTTTAATTCCCCCTTGGTCCCAGGCTCTATAAATCCCTGGGTATAAATCCCAAGTCTTGCTTAGCACAGGAAAATCTTTGTCTAACTTCACATTCCACTCTGGCTGGAACTAGTAGGAAGGAAGTCCCTCTAAAGGGATTTCCAGCTTTCTCCTGACCTCGGGAACCAGGTTGCACAATAAGGGGGCAATCCACAAATGATACACTAATGTTATCTTTGTTCCCAATGCAATGCAAAAAACAAAAAATAGAAAATAAATAAATATAAAATAACATGTATTTCTTATGTCAGCACATACATGCAAAATGAACACTTTCAAATACAACCGTCTATAAATGGTTTCCATAAGTTTTCTGGCTGTGGGAGCATTTTCAGTTTAAGAAGTCTTTCCTTCTGAGAAGTGTAGACATGCTGCTCTCTTCCCGCATCATTAGCCAGATGCATCACCACCCTGTGTGAGAATAAGCTGAGTGACACTGTCATGTTTTCTTGAAAGAGGCCGTGACAGTCACACATTATGAACTCAACCCCTTCTAGAAGTGTACTGCTTCTAGATCAAAGAAACTGAAGTAGAGCAGACCAAGGAGGATGTCTACCTGAAACTGTAACTCTCAAACACAGCATTAGCATTCAGATGGATTATTCACAGGGTTGTTGATTTTTCAAGTCAACACAACAAACATTTCTTTCTAGAAATGAACTGTTATCTACCCTTTCTAACAATACCCATGCAGTCTTAAATTTAAATAAGCAATTTAGAAATTTATTGAAATTTTTCAAAACCAAAGAAGGGTACAAAACCAGTCTGGAGAAAACAAACCACACATGCTGCTTTTTATAAATAAATTCAAAAACATTTCCATTGAAACTTTTCCTGCAAATTCAAACACACATTTCTAGTATTTAAAGTACTGTTGGCACACATCTTTTGACATAAACACTGTGAATCTCTTAGCCTGGAAGAAGTCACTAAGTCACTATATGGAAAGTGATGGAAGAAAAAAGGCTAGCACTATTTATTCTGCATTCACATTTCAATTCATTGAGTATCCGGGAATGTATGATCAAGTGGTGATTGAAAGGAGGAAGGAAAGTAAGCCATAACTTTTTATATAGGTCATGTAATTTTTCCAAAGAAGGGGGAAAAAGACATGCTCAAAAATAGCTTTTACAAAACACCCACTTAAATTCTCAAAAGTTTATACCTGCAATTGAATCTTAGTTAGAAACAGAACACTTAATGGACAGGTCATTGCAATATCAAGGTCCAATTCAGATGCAGTATTTATTATTGTATGGAAATATTGCATCGAATATTTACTTGCAGAGGTACAGGGAGAAGAAGAGAGAAGTCTATCTCAAACACTTGAACACTTCAGTGATGGGTTTCTAGTTCAAGAATTGTCCACTCCCCTTGAGGAGAAGAACAATCATCGGAGGAAAAACTTGCCACTGTGATGCTTGCAGATGAATCATCCAGTGGAGATATTAGTTCAGTCCACCTACTGAAAGTGTCAATCTGTGCTTTACCCTGAGGTTGTGAACTGTCTCGTGCCAGAAATAGCGTCTGGTTGATGAGATATTGTGCTAAGTTAAGGTCTTCGGGAACAGAGTTTTTGATGTCCAGGTTTGACTCCTGATCAGATAACAATTGCCTGAGAAGAGACCAGTCCTGTTCTGCATACTCTTGATCTTCAAAATCCACTTCTACAATGTTCACTTCCGACTCCATCCTCTGCTCAAAAGCTTCTCCAACATCCATCTCGTATATTGGAGAAAGGGTTTTTGGAGGCCGATGCTCAAACATGCAGGTTTGTGTCAATCTGTCACAATCATCTATGTCTCCTGAAATAATTCATAATACTACACATTGTAAAAATTGCACATGTTGTTCCCCTCTGCAGGGCTTATGTACAGCATACTTAACTCAGTGCAACAGAACCAATCCAACCGGGTAAGAGGTAAGGAAAAAAACATATACAAAGTTCATGAAAATTTGAGCATTTCTTGTTTGTTATGTAGGTAAAAAAATGAAACAAAGTATGGCTTATAAATAAAGTTAAAGCAGCATCACCACTGGCAATTGACAATAAATCTCCATAATCAGAAAAAAATTCTGATACAGAAAATGACAAGTCATGTAAACCAACATTTAATGCACATGGATTTCTAAAATCACTAAGCTTGTAACTTAAAACTCAGAAGGAGCAGAGTGGGAGTGGGAAAACGAAACAGGAGGACAGGTTCACTAGAAAAGTGACTTAAGCCAAGTCAACTTCAAAAGGGGCAAAAACAAATGGTTGATCCACAGGCTTATATTTCAAGCATTGCACATGCAAAGGGCAGCTGCAAGCAAGAACAAGCAAGCAAACAAAAAAGAGTTACAGCTTGAAAGGTCATCAGTTTGTATGGTTCTTTTGAATACAAATTGTTTCATAACTCTTGAATACACAGAAGCTTTGAAAGAAAGAGATTCAGGTACTCTGTGTTGTACTTGGGGGTGGGTACAGTGTCAAATTCCTGTTTTAATTCAGACACACAAAACAACTAGACAAGAAGTTACCTAATGATGGAAAGCAAGCATAAATTTAAATATATTACTTGGATTTAAAAGTGTAATCTTTCGTTTTTAAAAAAGTTTTTTTTCCATTGGCAAAAGTTAGAAACACAGAAATTGCAAAAATGTATTGGGGTGCAGACCAGCTCCCACTGAAGCCAATGGTAAAAGTCCCACTGAAACAGTAGAAAGACCAGTCCCTACTTCTGTGCAAAACAGAAACGAACTGCAGTAATAATGAAGATAGCTCTTAAGGTAAACAAGCAAAGCAGTTTAAGAATATTAATGCACTTATTGCACATCCCACTTTGATATATATTATTTTATGTTATATTTATTTATTTATATAATAGTAATATCTGAATCATATAGCTGTCAAACAAATGAATATCCAAGCTTCCACTAAAAGGCGATATTGCCCAAGTCCTACTGGGACAAAACTAAACTCATAATCAGGAGTGGCTTCCCACTCTTAGCTTTGTCCAAGATAAATATTCCCAACTGCCAACTCAACAGCAACTTATACCATATACTTAACTGTTCATAATATTAAGTAGTTTAATATTTTGTCTGAAACATTATCATTTAATTCTGTATCAGTCTGGATAAAATTTCTAAACATTTCTACTAGAGTTAAAGATGTGATCCCAACTATAAATTTAATATGTTGCTAACATTTAATATCTCAAGGGATTTACTGTTTTTATTTCTGTACGTTACCTGCAGATAAAGCAGTGTTAGAGTATTCAGTAGATGCTGGCTCACTCTCTTTCACGTGACCTTCTGGAGTCAATAAATGACTCCTACATGGATCTACAGGCTTTGTAGAACTGTTCTTTTGCAACTCAGTATTATCCCTCTGATGAAGATCCAAGTGACATGGTCTTCCTTGAGATTTTGAATCAACATCTGAAACTTTATTGCACTGAATGTCATTATTCTCTTCACTCCTAGCCTCTTCTTTACCTTCTGCAGCAGGCTGGCTATACCCTACTGTTTTCTCTCTAGACTTTTGTTCTGTAACTGAAGTAGCAAGGTTATCTTTCTCCTTTGACTCAGAAACACAAGGATCCACAGAAGAGTTCTCATTATTATCCTTATCAGGCTTCTTACACTCTAAGAATCCATCCTCGATCTCCAAGGAGAATCTTGAATAAAATGTTTTGTTGTGATGCTCATGAGGAATGCCATCAAACACATCAGAAGGTGTGGCAGCATCCAAGGAACCCTGAAGAGGTGTATGGACCTCCCCACCATCATCAGACCCCAGTTCTTCACATTCATCCACTGAAAGCAATACAGACCGCTTAAAGTTCTTGGTGTCAGAGAATTCTTGGTTCTCAATGTCATTTTCTGCTGCATCTTCAAAGGCTAGATTCACTATTCCATGAAACTGTTGAACAGGAGCTTCTGGGGGTGGTAGGCGTTCCACAGCATTTTCATTTTCAGACTTTTCATCTTCTGTTTCATCTGCTGAAGAGGAAACCTGATCAGCTTCCTGAGGAAATTGTGTGGGTGCAAAGCCAGCATTATTTCCTCTTGACCCAGCCCTTTTCTCACCACCTTGATGTGACCAAGTTTCAGGCCTTTTTCTAGGGATCTCATCATCACTTGTTGAAATAACCCGAAAGAGATCAGAGTTTTCTTTTTTCATTTTTACCTCTATCCTTAGGCTAGCATCATAGATTTTTAGTTCTTCAGGTGTACTTGTATCACTGCTGCTTCTGCCAAGGAAATCATGGCACAACATGGTGCTGCATTTTGAAATCCCTCTTTCATTGGAGCCCTCGTCATCTTGAGAGCCTCCAGCATCATAGTCTTCTGATCTTGGCTTTATATCATCTGAGGATGTTGCTGCACTGCCTGTGTCAGATTCAGGGCTTTCTTTTGGATCAAGTGCACTGGAGCTCAAGTTCCAATGATCTGTAAATGGAGCATCAGAATTTTCATGGCTCTCTGGTGTTTCTGTGGTATCAGTGTCTTTAGAGGAGCATTTCTCAGCAACCTGGCCTATGGAAGATTTGGAAGTGGCATCTGATTCCACTGTAGCAGACTGGGATTCAGTCACAGCAGACTTATCAGAAAACTCATCAGTACTTTCAGACCCTATCACAAAGGCCTTGGAAGACTTCCTTTCCTCACGTTCAAAGTTAGAGGTCTCACCAGCTGCTTCATAAAACTGATGCAATAGAACATCTCCACAGTTAGCATCCTTTCCAGCTTTCAAGTTATCTGTAGCTTTATGATCAATTGATGTTTTTTGGATCAAAGGGTTCTTGTTTTCTCTCAGCTGTTTCAATGGATGCAGGCAACCAACAGAATCAGGAAGTGTTTTGCACTTTAACATGTCCTTGTTTGCAGCCAAGACGGTGGGATTTTTGTTAGCATTCTCACATGCAATACTCTCCCGATCCTTAACACAATGCAATTCAGTTGCATTACCTTCTTCCACATTTTTACTTATAAGAGATGTATCATCTTTTTCATTTGTATGAACCTGTTTTTCTGTCTTTTCAGTTTTCACTGAAATGCTCAGTTCTGCAACATATGGCTGTTCCCAATCTCCTCTGGAGTGTCTTTCTTCATGAGGAGTTATTTTTTCTTTATTAAGTATGTGCCCTTTATCTATCTCAAGCAAAGATGTTCCACTGCTGTTTTTCTTCCCTGGACTAGATTTGTTACTGCCAGGTAGCTGAGTTCCCAATGCAGCAGAATTTTCATGCTTGGGAGCCAAATTCTTTTGCCCTTCTCCATGTAAGTTCTTCTGAACTGGTGACTCACTTCTAGGATGCTTCATGCTTGAAGATGAAGCCTTTAAAGCAGGTTGTCCTGTAGCTATTTTCTGTTTTTGGTCTTTATTGATCCCTATTTCACTCTTCTTTGAATGGGTTTGGGTTTTGGATGTTACTATTATTTTTGCAGTAGCTTTAACAGAAGTAGTCTGCAGAGGTTTAGACTTTTTCTTTGACAAACTTTGTTTCTCCAGTTGTGCCAAATGTTGTGTCACGTTTTTTTCTTCATTTTGTTTTGGAGAAAGTCCTGACTTCAGTGAATTTGGTAAGTCTCCTTGTGAACCTAACAGGAAAACATCTTAAGGTTATAGTATATCCCAAGTAACAAAATATTTTTATCAAGAAATGCAAACAAACAAGATTTTATCAAAAAGCCTCTGCATTTTAAATTGATGTGAAAATTGTGGTAATTTAGATACCAAAAAGAAAGCGGGGGTGCGGTGTGGATTCACATGCCATGGCAAGGAACCATGCATGGTTTCCAAGCAGCAGGGTTTTTCGCCTGGATGTGCCTGACAGATGATTAAATGATTTCCTGGCTAGCATGACTTCTACCCTCCTTACTGAGTTTTCTGCTGTTAGCACATATCCAATTAGCCACTGTATCTGACATTATATCCCATGCTGGATGGCTGGAGTAGCTCCTGAAACAACTGCTGATCTTTCCAGGAGACTCTGTGGGTAGCTGCATAGTAGAGCCATGGAAACCACAATGCCAGGTATGGATGATCAGAGAAACCATGGTGCAGCGTGAAAACCATAGAACAGACTGCTATTTCTTATCATTCTTTCTAAAAACGAAATGTATCATGCTGAAATACCACCAGAAGGTTCACTCAGCACAACAGACTATCCTGCGCAAGAGACCACTTTGGGTTGTTGTGTCATGTGAACTTCTTCTTTAAATACCCTTTTGGGGGAAAAAAGTAGAAAATTATAGCTGCCTCCTGCTGAATCAGAATCAACACAGCCACACTATGCAGCAGTTTTACACTCAAAAGGAAAGAATTAGTTGGGCCAAAATATGGGCATGTCCATGAGTAGGATCCATCCTCATGTTAAACACTATTGAATATGTTAACAGACAAAGGATTACCAACCAGCCTTATGATCACATTATTATTGGATTCTTGTAAACTGCCCAGAAAGCTTTGACTAAGGGGTAGTATGGAAGTGGAAGGAAGGACAGAAGGACAACATTGCATTTGAGATTAATATTTTTAACAACTCCATGGTTTTTAAACCTATGTACTAATTTCCCAGATGCTGTCACTAAATTAAGTGTCATTTTCAGGTTACATAGCTCTTTCAAACAATACAAATTATCTTTAAGTTTTCCAGTTGAGATGTGGCCAGAAAACATTAGGATCAAATTCTATTATTTCTACAGCCATATTGTCTCATTCATGACATTGACCTGAACTACCTGTTATGCCAATCTATCTCAGGGAATAAAGTGTGGTGAGTGCACCTGATAGCAATACCAAGATGTAAATTAATGGCAGGTAACTGGAATCCTGAATCAAATTATGAGCATGGAGCAAGACAACTGGAAGGGCACTCAAGTCAACAGGATTAGACAAGCAGACCACTGGAGGGTGGGAGTGGTGAGTCCATCCATCCATCCTCAACGGCATTCTCAGAGTGGGCTTCCAGCAAAATCTAGTCGCTGAACAGAAATGTAGATGGATGCATTTCATGATGGACGGCTCATATAACAAAGGTATTTTCCTAATCTGTATTTTGTCAAGCATTCAAAAACAACACGAGGCTTTTATTTCTTTTAACATGATCAAGATTCATTTCTTTCTTATTTCTTGTGCATGAGTCTTCCACTGTGGTAGAGATTCTGTAGCAGGACAGAATTTTCCAAGCTCTCAATTACATATTATTTCGGAGCTGAAAAAATGTCCTTTACATGCTATATCCTAGTATGATTTACTTGATATAATTCAGCTGCAACAGCAGCCTAAATAGATGTTCTTTGCAAATGAGCAATAAGCAATACAAACTACAATTTGTATTCTGCAAATTCTACTCTGCAATTTCATTTACGGGCTCAGTCTGAGTTTACCTTGATTTTTTGTAGTATTAGCTACATTCTTGGTTTTCTGCTGAACAGTAGAATTGCCAGCTTCGCTTCCCTTTTTCTTCAAAACTGCTTGTGGTGTATGTTCACTGTTGCCCTTTCCAGTGCATTTTTTTACAACACTGAAACAGAAACACACTGCTTGGATTATTTGCACATTTAAAGATCTAAAAGATAAGCACCTTTAGATATCTGTAGGTCCTGAACTGTGGGAGCAAAATGGGTTGCCTTACAGTGCAGCCATATATTTTTTAAATAATAAATAAGAAAAACATAAAGAAAATGGCCTTCCCAAACAAACTGTAGTACATAGCTTACAAAGAGGGAAATGATACAGTGTTAACTAGTAATTCCCTTTCTCATGGCTTGCCTAGCTTACATCTCTATGTGAGCATTACCTAAGAGATAACTCAACACCTGCATATTTTGACAGATGCAAAATGGAGTGTTTTGAATGATCTGTAACACAGGCTAAAGCCTAAAGCAGTAACTTTTAAAAAGCAACAGTATCTAGGGGTCCATACATTTTGGCTTGACATACTAGCTAATCATTATCTATAGCTACCACCACACCACTGCCATCTGACTGAATCATCCAGAGGGCTTGTGAAAGAGGTGGGATCTTATTTGCAGCTATGACGGGGTTTAAGAAACAGTGAGAAACATGCACACTGTTTCTCACCTTTTCCAAATGAGGAAAGATCCCTCCCTTCCTCTCCAAGTTCTCTTTAATTCTTGAGAAAAGAAGCAGTATTGTGGAAACCATGAGGCCAGGGCTGAAAAGCGCTAATCACCACTAGTGACTGAGGTTGAGCAGCCCTGGCAATGTCAGAACAGAGTTGTAAATGAATTCTAGAATTAAGGCACACATTTTAGCCAGGTCGACCTATGAGCTCTATTTTCAGTTCAGAAATAAAAGCCCTAGTATATGAAAAACTAGGAACTTGACTTCCAACAGACCTGTTCATTGGACTATTAGCCTCAACATCATTAACACTTTTTTTAGCAGGGGCTCCGTTAGTCTTCTTCACTGCAGATTTTGTTTTCAAAGCTGTATGATGAAGGAAAAGTAGAATTAGACAGTAGGTGATCCATGATAATGAGTGCCTACTGAAAGTTATGATCTCAGATGTATTTTTATATTTTTAACTCGCTCTGTCTGCATCTCTCCCCAGGTGTCACCCATTTCATCCCAAACATAGCAAGAATGATTATCTAGAATTAATTTGAGTACTCAAATGCTTCTTACTCCAATAATCTCAACTAATGATTCACTGGTTTAAAAAATGTATCCAGGTCATTGAACTAAACAAAATAGTATTATATGTACAAATAGGAAGAAGGGGGAGAAAATGTGTTTTGTTCTTACTGCTATTAAGCAACTGTATCTTCAAGTAGCTCTTAAAATATTTGCAGAGATCTTTTATAAGGGCACAAGGGTTTCCTACATGCCAGCCCACATTTACCTTTCCTACCTTCCTTTAAAAATTACGCATCAGTAAATGCAGACATCATAACTCACTTTGAACCCTCTTTTAATTTAGTATTACTTTTCATAGACTTTCACAGTGTATGGTAGCTTAGTAAGTATGAAACTAATTTCTCATTACCTGGATGCTTTCTCCCTTCATCTGCTAGTTTTTCCTCCTTGGTTTCATCTAGATGTTCAATGGACATCCGCAGATCTGTACTTGAATTGGTTGATTTACTTAGAGTTTCAGTGCCGATAAGAGAGGGAGATTCCTTTCCAGTGGGTTTTTTCACAGGTTTTGCTTTAATCTGTACACTTGAACTTGCAGAAAGTACTTTGGGTCGAGCACCTACACTTTTACCTTCTTGGTTTTTCAAGGCTTTGCCACTTCCTGCATTTTTGTGTCCACTAGCAGATAATGACCGATCAGAATCCTGTTTTGTAAGGAAGCTTTCAGCCTTAGCATTTCCATTAGTTTCAGTTTTGGGCTTTATAACAGCTCTAGCCTTTGGTGAAGGTGTTTTCTCCCCCATCTTGGCCTCTTTTGTCATCTTGCAAACTGCCTTTTTACTGTCTTTCCCCTTTAAATCGTCGTGTTTCAAAGCCTTATTAGCGCTGTTCCTGTTGGTAGCCGATGTATGTCCAGATGCTCCTAATCCATCGGATTTCATTTTATCCCGATTAGTGAAGGAACCACACCAACTGTTTTTCTTTCCGTCTGCTTTCCAAGCAGTATGTTTAATACCAGAAGCGTCAGTACTGCATCTGTTTAACTGGAGGAGAAAAGACAATAATTCATCAAACCCAGTAGGAGAGTTGTGGTTATTTACTTTGGAAACTTACTCTGTTCAGCATGAATCTTAATCTTATGACAATACTTGAAACAGAAATCGCCTTTCCTGTGATTTAGAAACAACAGAGAACCAATTTGTACATCCAAGACGGAAACCCTACTACACTTACTGCAGGGAGAGCAGCAAATATATTAGGGTATCAAGAGTCACCTGGTGATTTTGAATGGATACAGCAAGACTCTGAATGAATAAATCAGCTATCCTCTGTACTGGTGAAATGCAAACATGGTATGAGGATGAACGATGTTGATTTACAGGCCAGATTTAAGTGACTGAGTATTGCATATGCTTTGAACAGCATCACACACAAAGTAAAGGAAATGTTTTAATATTCAAAGCAACTTAATTTCTTGATACAGGCTCAGTATATATAGACCAGGGGCGAATTCCAACGTAAGTCCTGTTTAGGGTAGACTGACTGAAATGAATGGGACAAGTTAGTAATGATTATCCTAAGCTCCTTCCATTTCAATAAGAAATCCCCAGTGGATATAATGGGACTAGCTTTCTGAATAAACATGCATAGGATCATATTGTAAACATATAAAAGCTAGTTTTGAACATCCTTTCATAGTAGCATGACTGATCAGCAGAATAGAGTATGGTGATAAGCTGGAGAAACCCAGGATGGAACCCTGAGATCGGCGGGAGAGGCCCTTCTCCGGGAGCCCTCCATGGAAGAAGTTAGGAGGGTGGTTACTCGGAGGAGGGCTTTCTCAGCGGTGGCGCCTAAGTTATGGAATGCGCTCCCCAGAGAGGTCCGCCTGGCGCCGTCGTTATTTGTTTTTCGGCGCCAGGCGAAGACCTTTTTATTTAAGCAGTATTTTAAATGTTAATATTATTGAATTTTATCTGGCCAGGGCGGCTTGTTTTATAGTGTATATTTGTATTTTATTGTATATATTTTAAAATGTTATTTTAATTTTTTGTTGTAAGCCGCCCCGAGGCTTCGGCGAATGGGGCGGCATAAAAATGTTTTAATAAATAAATAATAAATAAATAAATAAGAATGATTCTCATTAGTTAGGGCCACAAGGGGCAGTTTGCCCCAAGTTGTCCTGAGTATACCTTTTGCTTTTCCTATAGAAGAGCAGTGCTATTTACTCCTACGACACAGCAAAGTACTTAAGAATACTTGTGAAATGAAGCCTAAATCAGTCTAACCCTCATTGACAAGGATCCTGTTGGGAGTTATATACATTTCTATGTATATGTGGCCTCTTGGGGTCCTTGCAATATGCAATTCTACTTGTTACATGCACACACACACACACACAAGTGCACACCCATCACAATGGACATTTTTGCTAGGAATTTCCGCCCCCCCCCCCCAATCTTTTCTTTTGTCTCTTTTCCATCTTTCCTTTTTAAAAGAAGTCTTGTACTGAGTTTTACTGGACTTCAAGGCACCTTAAGATTTAGCATTCTAAAATACAACCAGTTGTGCCCAGATGCATATTTGACTATAATTCTTAATGATGGCTTGAACATGCACTTGCACTCATTACGGGCTGGAGTCTCTTGCAAGAGTATCTTCCAAATGAAGGAGGTCCATGGGGTATGTGCGTTTCCTCTGAAGAATGCAAAATACTGCTATTCCAAATGTTTGATTGACTAATTCTCATGAGGGGAACAGACCACTTCCACCTTACAAAGGACCCTAAAATACAGTGCCAAAGAGTTCATAGATGGACAATAAATCAGCTAAAATTATAAGGTAGCAGCAATGGCTGAAATAACAGCATGTAGCCATTGATGGCTGATATATTAGCATCTAGCCACTGGTAAATCCAAGTCATAAAATAATCACCACTCAGCAGCTTTTTTTCTTGTGGGGGAGCATGTATCTCATAATGAGGGGAAAGTCTCCTTGCAAAAATCTGAATGACTTATAAATGTCAGACTGTTGGTTTTGCTATAGTTTTACCTGAGAACTAGTGAATGCAGGCTTTTTAGCAGGTCTTCTAGCATCGCCTTTGTCAAAAGCAGCTGTGTAAGAAAAGCACACCTTCCTTTAGGAGATATTAGAGAGAAGGGATTGAGAGAAACAGAGACTGAGAAAGAGAGAGAACGATCATCTAGGGATAGATCCCTTAAGCAGAACAACAAAGGCAGCACTCAAGAACAACCTTCCCCAGCTGAGCACCTGGCGGGCACTGGCTGAGCAAGACTGGTCAAGAGGAAAACACATTTTAAAAACAGCCAAATCAATATGCTTGCAAGGGCCTTCATTTCACACAGGTGATGTTCCGTCTTTTCAAATCTTTTACCTGGCATTTTGTCAAAAGCACAACATTTGCATCCATGAGCTTCCCTGAAGAGGGAAGTGCCCCTTGCAAGCAAAATCCTCTTTTGGGCTATACTGAAGTCATATCATGCCAGTTTCTTTGGCTTGGTAAGACAGCTCATCACATTCAAAGTTCCCAAATAGGGCATGCTTGACTGAAACTCCCAGATGTGGCACCATAATGAGACCTCTGCAGTGCTACAGCTTACGTAACCTTCACAAGACAGATGCAAATAGAGGAGTGGACCTGGCACATTAACATCCTTTGCCAGGGTGCAATTTTTCTATGCCCCAAAGAATTACATCAAATATTTAGCTCAAGCAACTCTTTAAGTAACTGCACTATATTTTATGAAGGCATGAATCAATCCACACACACTCAACCCCCATAAAACCACTTGTTCATTGGATTCCTCAGTGAACCTTGGTTTTGTAAAGGAAGCCATGGATGGGTTTGTTTTTTTCTTTTTAAAGGGATGACTGGTTAGGGACATTATACAAACACTCCAGCATAAAATAACATTGTTTCGCTAAGTGACTGGTAAGTGAAGCCAAAGGTGGAGGGGGTGTCTTCAATCATACACATTTAAATTTCTCTATTTTTAACCTATTGTTGCTGAATTCTTAGTATCTGGAATCTCAAGGTATCATTAAATTAGAGCTTTTTAAAACTACACGCTTCTTTAAAAGTTCATGGGAACATTCAGATCATTGCCAGAGGAAGGTAACTCTAGATCTGATCATTACAAATATAAAGATACACCATCATGCACCATCAAGTTTTTCCTCTTTTCAGACTATTTCAATTATAATGCAAGAATTAATGACATGCATTCTTTAAAAATCACAGACCCATGTTTACTGATAGAAGGAAAGGCACTAACTACACGGATGCAGGATCAGTTGCTGCATCACATCTACAGATTCTTGTGCTTTAGCACTAGAAAGCACTATTTAGAATGATGCACTCTGGTATTCCAAACCCATTTCCAATTCGGTCAGAAATGAGCCTACAGTCCTGAAAACAAGCAAGAAAGCTTGCATTAATAAGCACTTAACAGCTTTCAATAACAATTTATAATCTAGTCCATCCAGAGTGCTCTTAGAGAATAAGAAAAATACTCCATGGGAGCATTTGTTTGATGCTACCCAAATGCTTTGCAAAATGCTATAATCTTGAGCATGCTGCATCTACTTCCCTGACTGGAGAAACCGCATGACTACAGCGCAAATATTCAGACATTGCCCCGAAGCCATTTTCAGGTAGCTCATCTGCTAAGATTTCATTCCATACATTTGAAAACAAAGAAGGGAGAGGGGAGGGCCAGAGCAAGCCTCCTTTTGTTTAGCTTCAAATTCTGGTACTTAAATTTTCAGAGGCTACTATACAACCCCTTAGCATCCCGTTTGACAATTCTGCAGCACACACAGCATCACAGCAGCAAATCAAGGGTGAGACGGACATACCCTTTCCTGAGATTTCTTAATGGGAAAGATTAAAGCTTTCCGCAGTCTATAATCCTTCAAGCTCTATGTATGCTAAATTAGTTAAGAGCTCTGTGTAGAGTTCTTTCTACAATATCACAATGCTTCTAAAAAAACAGCCACCATTGTCATATTTTGAGTGTTTCCAAGTATGGACAAAAAGTCAGCCTACCTTTCTATACAATTTCCGTTGATCTGCAGTAATCACACATGAGCCAAATAATTCACAACAGGGATGTGCAGCCACTCAGCTCCCATGCTGAAAGCAGCCTGGGCAGCTATTATTATTATTTTAATTCTTACGTAATATTTGAGAGCAGAAGGCTCATAAACATGTTCTTCCAGCTAGCATTAATTACCAGTTGCCGTTACTTTGTTTAATAAGGGCACAGCTGTCATGCAATGTGCTACAGCCTCAATGGCTTGCCTACCTGCTTGTATTTTCTGTTGATCATCTGGCTTCAGCAGCTTCCAGCTCTCTGTGTGACGAACAGCATAAAATGACTGAACTAGGAAGATCCACAGCTTATCATGCAGAGCCTGGATCTTGCACGTAAACCCCTGTGTTCAAGTAAGGAAATCAGCAGCTGGAAAGAGCCATATCGTCATAGCAACCAGTCATTACTCCTTACAGAATCGACTTACCTTTGAAGCTCGATCAATGATGTCATCACTTAGATTTGCTGAGTGGATGTATATGAGGTTTGTGAAGGCCAATTGTCCTGCACCGTAATTTTACACAGCTTGAAATCAAGCCACTCCTACAGAAGCTGTAACCCATAAATCATCCAGTCCCCACCCCACTGTTTTTTTAATGAATCTCTTCATAGCTTTTCACTTTTGACTATGTCACTACAAGGTCAAATCCACTGAGAGATCCAATAATGCATCTCACTAAATTTTCATCACTCTTGCAAAGTCACCAATAGAAGAGGATCATAGGATAATACTATACGAGGGTATTTTTGGATACCAAAGAGGAACCTGCCAAATTTTAAAGCATGCCATTTGCCCAATGGGCACCACCCAGCACACTGTTAAATTCACTTTCAAAAAATAACCTTAATTAATCAAGAGTAAAGCAATGTAAAAAATTCACAGTATCACTGAAACAAGTAAAAATTCCAAAAAATTGCAGCTATTTATAAAATATAATGCCTGCTTTACATTATACGATAATCTCAATACAGGGTACAGAATAAAGCACAGTAGAATCATAGAAGAATAGACTGATAAAAGAGTAAAGTAGAAGAGAACAGAAATACAGATAAATAATTGTTTGTAAGATGCAGCAGAACAGATTCAATCAAAAGCCTGTGTGAACAAATGAGTCTTGAGTTGGCAGGAAAAGCTTGTAAGATTAGGCACCAACTATAGCTATCCATGCTTCCTTCTCTAAAATATATCACCTACCAACAAGGAAACATCTGATGATAAGCAAGACTAACATTTGGAAAGACTGTGACCAGGGGTTACAACTCACCAATCCCTCTGAATTAGACCCATTTTATAGAAGAGTAACACAGAAGACAGGCATAAAAGAAAGCTCGTTTAACATCAGAATGCAGGTCCTGCTGATTTTGGTGAGGTATCAAAAAACATGCACAGGACTACAATCCTAAGGAGTGTGTGCCAAAAAGGAATAGTCAAAACTCCCATGCCACATACTAGCTGCAAACTTGTTCTCCAAGTGCCAGTTCTTATTCAGCCAAAATGCCACTCTCCACACCCAAAGTGAAGGTACTATCAGACTTAACAGAACTCCAAGGGTTGCATCACCATCATCAAAACTCAACAACTGTCAAATGGGAAACCCCCAAGCAGCCAAATAAGGATTCAGTGGGAAGTATCTGCTGAGGAAAATAAACTGAACAAGGGGAGTTTATGTTGGAAAGCTGTAAAAGGGCATGGCTTCCCTCCATGTTGCAGCACTTTATTGCAGTTGCCACTCGTCTATGTAATTGCTAGACTAGAACTGTCTATTCCATGCCACTTGATCTGAGCCCAGCTTCCCATGGGACTGACATTTTTGAGAATCTGTTCATAAAACAAACAAAACTTCAACTGTGAAAAGTGTTACTTTTGAATTTTTAAGACCTACCATCTCATTCACGCTTGCAGAACTTAATAAAGTGTCCAGAGCTATTAGAAGACTGCAACTATTTTCAGTGTTTATACCCCTCTGAATGGCCTCAAAGACTTGATCAAGGAGGTCCGCTTTGCTGCTCATGGCCTGAGCCTGGAAGAAACCATCACAGAAGCAGTTGGTTGAAACCAACACTTAAAATCCATTTTGGTAGTAGAACTGAGATGTATCTTATAGATAATACTCTCTCATTACTCTCCCCTTTCTAGTACTCAGTAGTCAACCAGATATTTGTACTATACCAACAGAAAACAGTAGCATTTGTGTACATTATCAATGTTAACTTAGAATACTTTCACCAGTTTTGATCTACCCGTATTTAAAATATTTTCACCATGCATTCTCAGACAACACTGACTCCCTTTCCTTTTTTTCATCCCTTCATCATACTTGGATGACAGAAGAACAGCACAATCCTACACATCTTGATTCATAAGGCAACTCACACATAATTTGATAAGGCCTTTGTTTTGAACCAACAACATTCTAGGGGCATCTTAAGAACTTTCAGAGAGGTTTGAAGAGCAATTCCATGGTTCCTGGATAAGTGCCCCAGAGACCATAGGATGGCTCTGATCACCCCTCTGATTCTGAAGCTGAAGACAGTACTGACCTGAAAAGAGATTCCCTCTTAGCCAGCAAGAACTATCCCAGTTTTGTCTCCAAGGTTATGACCTTGGAGAGGGAGGAAAGTTAGGGCATCAGGTTGTTAGGGTGGGAAGGAGACTGGAGCGGTCGGATATGATTTATTCTGAGCAACACCTTCCCTCTCCCTTCCAAAGTGCCCTTGCTGTATATTTGCCTGAGTTCACAGTTGAGAAGGATTATGGAACAATTAGTGTTCATGACATTTGATAATGAAAATTATGTGACCTTGCATTTTGCCTCATTTGTGTTGCTGGACTGGAAAGTGAGAGCTAGCCATGTTGCTCAGCTCTGAATGTTCCTGCCATTTTTGTTATGTTTTGTTGTTTTGTTATCTAAACCATACAAGTGTTACTACTACTATTTCTACACTAAACCATTGAAAATGTCTCACAGCATTTCCTAAGAACAACCAAGGAACCAGAACGTTTTCAACTCAAGGAAAAATCATTCCTTCCTTTTGAAGCCAGCTTCCAGCTAAAGCTATATAGTAGTTGGGAATCCAAGAGGCAGTTGTTCTTGGCACACACAAGTCACACCAAGACAAGAATGAAAAGGAGGAGGTGGAGGGAACTTGGAAATGTGGGGCTGAAGACTTTGAGATGACAGAGGTAATGCTTATCTCAAGGCCACACTCCCCATGCACTCAGGCAGGCTCTGGGAAGAGCCAAGATGCACAGGTGTTGGGTGGATGAATGGGAACAGAACTCTCTGAGTCAGAGAAACTTTGTACAACTCTTGATCCACATGACATGGTGGCAGGCGAGGACAGCCAGCCCACGAGAGAATAGGCATACAGAAAAGAGGTGTGCTTACTTCCAAATGGGCCCTTCAGAAGGGATTGGAACCTGACAAATGGAGAGTTTCCAGAAGCACTTGTTTAGATTGGGTTCAACGAACTGCTTTGTGTGCATGCACAGAGATGAATTATGTGATGGTTATGTTTGTTGGATATTCTTTGGCAAAGCTTTTTGCAAAGAAACTTTCTGTTCCCTTGAATGTGCAAAGGGAGGAAAACTTGGTGCGTCACAGCTGTTCTTGGTGCCTGTTTCAGGTCAGGGTGGCACTGACTTTTTGGATGAGCACAGTGAGGCCTGGGAAATGAGGTCTGTAGACACTGAGATGGCAGAGAAGGAAGCGCTCATCTCAAGGCTTCTGTCTCCAGGTGTTCAGGCAGACTCTGGGAACCAACAGGGTCTGGAAGTGCTGACAGGGCACATGGAAGAGGAACTATAGGAGCCTGGTGGGATCCTTAACCATGTGATATGGCATCAGGAGAGGGTGGAGTGAGGTGGGTCCAGGATTACTGAAAAGGAGGGTTCTTGAAAATAGTTTCTAGTTTCGGTTCAATGAACTGTTCAGTGCAAGCTCAGATTCCCTTTTTTGCTGGCTATAGCTTGCTGGAGCTACACTGGAAATAAAGAAATTTTGCCAAAGAACTGTCTGTTTGAAAGAAAGGAAAGTGGGGAACCTATCTCCTAGGAACCTAGCCCATGATAGCCTCTGTTATAACACTACACAATTCAGGTATATTTTACCTGTAACAAAGCAAAAAAGCCTTCACTTTGAATTATCCCTGGGAAATTTGCCACCATAAATGAGACACACTCCTCTTGCAGCCTAGATGCCAAGGTAAGGGCTGTTTCAGTCCATTTCACCTGGGGAAGGCTACTGATCAGTCGGCTGGTTTCCATCAGAAGATGGGCTGAATTCTGTGGACTCTTGAAATGAAAGAATACATGGGATCTCTAAACAACATTGGAGGCATAGTTTTCAAGCCATCTTTCAATATATCCTATCAACAAACAATTCAAATGCCCTCTCCCTTTAATTATAGTCAAATGTTTTCAATATTAAATGTTCCCAAGGACATCCTAAAAATATGCAAATCAATACTGAAGTTGCTTCATTTAGCAGAGCATAAGTTCATTAGGAGGTAAATTACATTTTAAAAAGTATTCTGAGATCTATAATGAGGAAAGTATTAAGGTTAGAAATCCTGAAATGGAAAAACAGGTTGCTTACCTGTAACTGATGTTCTTCGAGTGGCCATCTGTGCAGTCACACATATGGGTTCTGTGCCTGCACAGTGCCTTTGGCCGGAAGATTGATAGCTAACGGTTTGGTGGGAAAACTCCGCTCCCCTCCCCACTAGCAGTATATATGGAGTGGAGTGTCCGCCATTTTCCAGTCTTTGATAGACTGGATGTTTGCTATCTACAGAAAAATAAATTACAGCTAGACTAAACAGAAAAAATTCGTCGGTACCGAAGAAAGAATAGAGCCACCCAAGGACACCAAGCGGGGCTGGCGGGTGGACTGTGTGACTCAAAGAACATCACTCAAAGATGGCCACTCAAAGAACATCAGTTACAGGTAAGCAACCTGCTTTTCTTCGTTGTGGCCTCTGTGCATCACACATATGGGTAGAATAACAAGCTTAACTGAAATGGTGGAGGGAGGTGTCATCAACGAAGAATAGTTGAAAGAACGGCTCTGCCAAAGGAGCAGTCCTGTCTAGCACAAACATCCAGTCTATAATGCCTAGCGAAAGTACATGGAGTAGCCCAGGTGGCAGCTCTGCAGACACCCTCAATCGGAACTCCCGACGCAAAAGCTGAGGAAGCAGCTACAGCTCTAGTAGAATGACTCTGGGAAACTGTAGGTAAGTCTATCTTGGCCAACTGATAGGACAGAGTAATAGTGTGAACTATCCATTTGGACAGTCTCTGAGGAGTAACTGGGAAACCTTGATTTTGTTCCAAGTATTTAACAAAGAGCCTATTGGAATGTCGAATAGACTCAATCCTTGATCTATAGAAGGCTAGACAGTGCTGGACGTCGAGAGTATGCAGGGATCTCTCAGTCGGATTCAAAGGAGACGGGAAAAAGGCAGGCAAGATAATCTCCTGGTCCATGTGAAAAGACGTAGCCACTTTTGGAAGAAAAGGCGGATCCATTCGCAGAACTACCTTCTCTTTGTGAAAGTTCAAAAATGGAGGGTCTACCCTGAGGGCACAGAGTTCACTAGATCTCCGGGCTGAAGTAACTGCTACAAGGAAAGCAGTTTTCCAAGAAACAAGACGTAAGTCAATTGTTGCCAAGGGTTCGAAAGGAGGTCTTGTCAGTGCCTGTAACACCACTGAAAGACTCCACATAGGCATAAGCGGTCTGACCGTCGGATGGAGGTTGCAGAGTCCCTTAAGAAATCTCTTAACCAATGGTTGAGAAAAAATGGAAGAACCCTGCACTGTACCGCGGTAATAGGAAATTGCCACCATATACACTCTTATGGAGGATGGTTTAAGTCCAAAATGGTGGAGTTCTAAAAGGAACTGGAGGATATGATCTATGGATGCAGAGTTTGGTGAAAACGAGTGAGATTCAGCAAAACTAGAGAATCTACGCCACTTCACCACGTATGATTTTTTGAGTGGACGGCCTTAGCGCAGAATCGAGAATATATTGGATGTCTGGATGAAGAACTCGTGAAGCTGACAGAATATTCGTTGGATCCAAGGATGCAGAGGAGGTAGATGGATTCACAGCGTGGAATGGTGTGTCGGATCTAGGGATAGGATCAGTTGGAACTGCAGATGGCGTCGGTACTGGGCTGACGTTGACTGCTATCAAATTCGTCAGGCTGGCAGTTTCAGCAACGCTAGATCCGGGTGCCGGATCATGCCCTCCCGCTGAGTTATGAGATAAGGAATGGGAGGGAGTTGAAGGTATTCCTCCTGAGAAATGCAAAGAAGTGTCGAGAACCATGGCTGGCGTGGCCACCAAGGAGTTAGCAGCAGTCCTGTGGCCCCGTCGTGAATTATCTTTTCTATTACTCTCATGATGAGGGGAATTGGGGGGGAAAGCGTAAGATGTCTTATCGTTCCAAGGGATCATAAAGGCATCCCCAGATGACCCCTGTCCGATTCCCGCTCTCGAGCAAAAAGTCTCACACACCCTGTTCTGTTGGGTGGCGAATAGGTCTATATCTGGGAGGCTCCATCGCTGGAACAGCCTGTTGCATGTCTGACGGTCCAGTTCCCATTCGTGCAACTTGGACATGTGTCTGCTTAAGAGATCTGCTTCCACATTGTCTGTACCCGCTAGATGTACTGCTATCAGGGTAATATCTCTCGGTATGCACCACTCCCAGATTTGCATCGATAGCCGGGCTAACGTTGGTGACTTTGTCCCCCCTTGCTTGTTCAAGTAAAAGACTGTGGCAATGTTGTCTGAGGTTATCTGGATGACTCGACAGCAAAGCACATCCTCGAATGATTGTAGTGCTTTGAATACTGCAAGAAGTTCCAGGAAGTTGATATGATTCCTGGACTCGTGTCTGTTCCATACGCCCTGCGTGCATAGGCCAGAACACAGGGCTCCCCATCCCAGCAGAGACGCGTTGGTACCAAGAGTCACTGTAGGGTACTGAGGTCGGAACGGAACTCCGATGTTTAGGTTTTCTGATGCCGTCCACCATAGTAGAGATTGTAGGACGGAGGACGGGAGTCGAATCCGCTTTGTAGGTAAATCTGTCTGTGGCTGGAACATTCTGTTGAAGAACAGTTGAACGGGGCGAAGCCGAAGTTTGGCATATGGAACTACAGCAATGGATGCTGCCATGTGCCCCAAAAGTCTCTGAACAGATCAGGCAGGAACAGTTCCGTCTCGTCAAATTCGGCGGATGTGTCAAGCGATAGTGCGTTGTCTGTCTTGAGGGAGGAAGGCCTTCGCCACCGTAGAATCCAGCCGGGCTCCAATAAAGTTGATCATCTACGTAGGGACAGGAGAAGATTTCTCATGATTAATGCAGAGTCCATCTTCCTTCCCTCTTTGTCGCGGGGCGCTGTGTGACCCCGTGCATCCCGGCCTTGAGAAGATTCCACCACTACCAAGTTCGGTTTGGGGTGGCGGAGGAGGAACGGAATGTCCCCCTCCTGAATTCTGTACATAGCTTCATATCTTCTCGAGGTCGGTTGAGGTTGAGCCAGGAGGTCCCATGGTTGGGTCATCGCTTGCTGAAGAGTGGTAATGAGTGGTAAAGCGATGGAGATCGATTGTTCGCCCTGCACTACATCGTAGAAACGATCGGTGCTGGGACCAGGTTGTTGACTGGCCTCGATTTCCCGCGACTTCACCAGCCTGGACATCAATTCAGCAAACGAGATGTGCGGCTCTTCCGGTGATGCAGGGCCTTGCAAGGTGACTGCAGCATCAGGCGAAGTCCAATCGACCTCGGACTCGTCTGGGTCCACTCAATATGGAGGCGGGACGCTGGAAGAAGAGTCCCCTGGCGACTGCGATCTACCGCTCTCCCGAGACGGAGCACACCCGGCTTCTCTCGAGGCTGTAGAATGAGGTCGATCCCGAGGAGCTGGTGGAGAGGATCGGCCTCTAGCAGCCGGGTAGTATCCGACAGATGGATAGTCGGGCCATCTTGGTGCAGAAGAGTACCGGGAATGGTACCAGTCGTCAGAACAGGCTTCAGGAGACCGGCTCCTATGGCTTCTCGGTGGGGACAATCCAGTTCCAGTGTCGAGTCGAACAGGCGGCATAGGCGTCGGGGATCGGGCCCTCGGTGGGGAGTCTTGAATCTCGCCATCGGAAATTGAACCACGAGGTGGATCCTGGTGCAGTTCAGATCCCGTACGGCGTGGAGAGGCTGAAGGAGTAACTCTCATCGCCACCTGAATGGCCGGACCCGAAGGCATCAGTACCGGAACTGCGGTCGGGACTGAGGAAGCCGCCGAACCCGAATGTTGGTGTTTCGAATGCTCAGGTTTCTTCGGTTTTTCAGCCGGTTTTTCGGCCTTATCCCTTTTGGCCTTCTTGTGCACAGATGGCTTCTCAGGGCCGCTGTGCTTCCTCTTTTCCCGCTGTTTCTTGGGTGGGGAAACAGGTTGATCACCGTGGCGGGAGCACCTTTGCCTAAAGGGCGTGAGGGCAGAGCAGCAGAGGAAGGGGCCGGACGTTGCGGCAGATCGGCTGAAGACAGATGGCGGTCAGGTGAAGCCGAGGTTGTAGCAGGCTTAGCCACCTGCCGGTCCGATTGTAGGAGAGCCTGGTCCCACAGGAGCTTACGTAAGCGGTTCTCCCTATCCTTCCTGGCCTGTTTAGAGAAGGCCGGGCAATGGCCGCATTTGTCCATCCTGTGACCCTCCCCTAAACAGAGGAGGTACAGGTTGTGTGGGTCCGCAGCAGGCATTTTGGAGCCACACTCTCCACACTTGCGGAACGCCGCTCGTTGCGCCATCACGGAAAAAGGAAAAAAAGGAGGATAGTATAGCGGGAGTAGATAATATTTTTGCTTTTTGTTTTTTTTAATAGGAACAAGAAGAACGAGAAAAAACGGAGAGAGAAACTAGAACAATAAGAGCAATATAACTAGGGATACTAACTTGGAAAAAGAGAAAAAGAGTTCGAAGCAAGAGAGCACGAGGAATGATCTAAGCGAAAGCGAAGCGGCACGAGGCACAACGAACAGTGGTCGCAAAGACTGGAAAATGGCGGACACTCCGCTCCATATATACTGCTAGGGGGGAGGGGAGCAGAGTTTTCCCGCCAAACCGTTAGCTATCAATCTTCCAGCCAAAGACACTGCGCAGGCACAGAACCCATATGTGTTCACAGAGGCCACGACAAAGAACCAAGCAAACTTTACTGCTGCAAAACCCCCAAAAAGAAACCCACATGGGAGAGTTATAGACTTATTTGCAGCTAACCTAACTTATGCTTAGGACTCAGGCCAGATTCACATTTCAGGTATTTGTATGTGGTAGCTGCACATCGGAGAGCTAGAGCCGGTGGCAGCTGTTTAGGCATGTTCACATCCCCTTCTCTCTGTTTCTTTACTTACAAAAACATTTATGTATACATTTCTATTCCGTCTTTCCTTCCAATACTCAAGGCATCTAGCATAAAGATAAAACCAAAACAATTCAAAAATAAACAAAATTCAAAGAGAGTTAAAACTGTTAAGTAAAGCAGCAATCCACTGTTTATGAATACAGTATTTCATAAGTAGCTCAAATCAATAAAAAGTAAAATTTACAAACAAAATCCTTTCCTAAAATGCAAGGTTGTTACCAACTTAGGAAAAGTCACTAAGGAGGGAGTAAGATGGTTTTCCTTCCATGATTATAGGTGAGTGTGTCTTTTTCACAATCTATGGAGTTGACTAGGAAACTTGTGATGCGCAAGTGGCAAACATTTCAAGACATAAAGAGTTACTTGTTGACTTTGAATGGATGTGCTACTGGCTGATTTTTTTTTAAATGCAAAAAGTGAGGATGAGAAGCAAAGTTGATTTACAGGCCAGAATTAAAGGACAGTATTGCATGAGTCTTGAACAGTTATTACATGCAAAGCAGAAGATGCATTTTGATCTTCAAAACAAGTTCACTTCCTGATAGACAACTTGGTATACACAGACTATATGCAGAGAACGTCAACATAAATCCTGCTTAGAGTAGACCCAATAAAATAAATGGGACGAATTAGTCATGATTAACTTCAATTTCATTGGTTCTATTCTATGTAGGAGTGACATTGGCTTTGGCTCCAAATGAACTGATCAACATCTTACTTGTATCAATGTCTCTGTATTTATAAACAAGCAAACCAAACTTACCAAAGACTGAATCAGTGTTCTAAAGCAATCATTTTGAAGGTCAGTGGGTAAACTAGCGAAGTTCTTCTCTGACCAACATCTTACAAAATTTTGAACTATCCACCTGTTGAAAGAAAAGCAAATCAATCCCTCCATCAAATTTCCCATCATATAATGCCTTCATGGACAAATTGAAAGGCTCTTCACATTGCAGGACAAAATGCAAATACTTTTTCAAGATTTTGGCTAATATTATGACTGTAGTTTAAAGCAGAGTTTAAGACTAAACTGTGAAAAGGGTAAAAGAAGAATAAAAAAAATTAACTTACTTCATGCAAGCGTCATAGAGGCTTTTTGCTCCCACAGAATGGGCAATGGCTAGACATTCTAAAACAGGTGGATGCTTTCCAGGCACAGGCTGAATTGTTAGAAAAAAAGCACAGTTACTGCATTTACATAACCTTATGGCAAATTCCAAGCTGCTAATTTTAAGAAGAAACATTTGTAGCAAACAGAGGCGCACGAGCGTGCATGCGTGATCTCTAACACAGATTCCAATGGAATCAATATTTCGCTATTCATTCTGCAACCCAATTTACTTGACCACTTCATCTAAAACAGCTTGCCTCACCTAAAACAAGACCTTGGGTTCCCTACATATTTGGGCCTACAATTCCCATCACCTCCAGCCAGCATAGCCAATGCTGAGGAATGATGAGAGCTGTGGGCTAGAACATCTGCAGAGCCACATGTGGCCCACCCCTGAATCTAATACAATCATTTAAAAAAACCTTTTACTTCGAGGGGAAGCCTTCTCACATCCACACATCTTGTAATATTGCCCCCTGCTCCCAAACCAGTGAACATTTTAGAAGAATTCTAAAGAACTGCTGCCAGGGCACATACTCAGGCCACACAGGACACTGGCAAAACGGAGGTCTTACTGCCACCCTCCTTCTAAAAACATTAGCTAAAGTACATTCTGTGTATATTATTGATGAAAATGGTTTCTAATAAAGGAAGTTCCTTACAATGCCTCTTTATTTAATCCCGTTTCTGCAAAATTGCTGGAAGTAAATCTAATCAATTTAAAAATTAAAAGACAATTTCATTTCTATTGGCAAACTAATGACTTATTTACACATTTACCAAACAGAGAGCAAAAGCTTCACAACTCTATATTCTGGCTCACGGTACCCAAATCTAACAACTGATACCAAGAAATTTTGGTAGTTTGACTGCTATCACAATAGCATACAAGTAAAAATAAAAGAATACTTTGGAACAAACCTTTAGAAAGAAGTTGCAATAGTCCCTTTTCAGAATGTAGATAGCAACTTCTCTTAGGCCCTCAAGTCCATACATATCTGCAATGCTCAGTATGCAGCTGAAGCAAAAACAATAATGGAAGTTGCACATACAATAATCATATTAGAGCTATGGTGGCCCAGCACAGGAGCATTCCTGGGTAACTTGCATCACAAGGGTAATTCTACCTTTTGCATTTTAAATTGTTCACACTTTTTTAGAGACAGTTAAGTGATTTTTTTAGTGATGTTCTGTATTCCAGCAACTTGTTGAATTTACAAGAAATTCAACATGTTTTGCAACCTCTTTATGTGAACTTCAAATGGGCAATTCATGCTACATATAGAGGTTGCATGTTTCAGTATGCTAACTACAAAAGAGGGAATCCAAGTCAGTTGTTTGTGTTGATGCAATTAACAATTCTTTCAATTGTTAATTGCATCAACAATTGCACCTGGAAGATGCAAAACAACAAGAGAAGCATGTGGGTCACATCACTGGGCACGAGGATGATGTGACTTTCCCCTGTAAGCGTGTGGAACAGATTTGATGGGGGAGGGGGTGCAGTGGGAGGAGGAATTGCTCTTCCTGGTTTTTGTGACAGAACCAGTTCCATCAGTAGAAGGGCACCACTGGATCCAACCCTCAGTGTCTTAAAATGTGCTGAAAAATGGTCAGACATACAAGGGTACAGACTTGGTAAGTCATGTCACATCTTTAATGTTAAAATACTTGTCGATAAGTATTAGGTAACTTGAATTACTTGAATGATGTTGTCAACACAGCAATGCACTATCTTTTGTATTTGGACTTTATTTATTTATTTATTTATTTATTTAGAAATCTGAATATCTGCTCATAAATACAGAGAAAGACCTCCAGTATTGGATTGTACAATTAGTTTAAGCACTAACAGTCTTCTAAACTCATTTTCTTTTCAATTAATCCTTTCAGACCAAGCATGTATACATGTACTCTTATACATGAACATATTCAAACTTCAGTTCAAACCACAAAATACTCCCATATTAAAATTTACTGATATTTAAAGAACAAAGCAAGGTGTAATTTCGCCATTTTCAGCATACTATAATCCATTAATCTGATTCAGGGATATACCACTCAAACAAAGCTTAGAGTTTACACTTTACATTTTTAAGCTACGTCAACACATAAACCCTTAAGTGGTGAGATGAGCTGTGCAGTCTTGTTTTTCAAAGCAGAACTACTGAAGAAAGATGAACTGTAGTGAGGCAAACAAAATTCTGGCTATTTAACCATGCAATCCTATGCACATTTACTCAGAAATAAGTCCAAGTTATGGGTCTTGCTCCCAGAAATGTTGTTGTAGGATTGTAATCTAAAGGGTTCATCAAAAAGAGCCCAGAGAATGGAACCCCGTTGAAGAAGTGCAAAGGGATCGCTGGGTGAAAATGACATGGCAACTGTTTGTTGAGTTGCCATGTGAATCCAACTCAGACCAATTCCCACCAAGTGGCTTGTCTTTAGGCCATCCTGACAACCCATGGCTTGTGTTGATGCAATTAACATTTCTTTCTACCTCTTTCAATTGTTAACTGCATCAACAACTGTACCTGGAAGGTGCAAAACAACAAGAAAAGCATGCAGGGTCACATCACTGGGCACCCACAATGGATCGTCCTATCATCTAAACCCAGCTGAATGGTACAATTATAGATTGTGAGAAGTGGACAACAAGCTTCTGGATGAAAATGGCAACCTCCCCTTGCTGCTTCTGGAGATCTCACCTGTCCTGCTGCCAGTGACAGCCAGAAACAGCCCTTTCGCTGATGCCCCTGTAGCACTTTGAACAACTGCCAATGCTTTGCCCATTTAATGCCGCAAATATGCACGAATGTGCTCTTTCCGGTATGCGCTTTCTTGCTTAGTTGAGTACCTTGTCAGTTACAGCTATCAAATGGTAACAGAATCATTAAGCATGACTGCATATAGCCTAAATTGAGTGCCTGGCTGTCAGTTGGAACTAAGCAGAAAATGGGAAAACCATGAAGGTACGTGCTGGGCCGTATATCTCCCCCTTAACAAGGTGATCTGTGTCAGAAAAACCTGGAATTTCAATTTGTGAGGAGGAAATAAAACTCGGGTTTGTGGGAAAGATCAAGCGTCCAGACCATCTGTGGCTTTATTGTTTGGCCCAGGTTCCTGCGGTAGACTCACGATAATGTATTACCGGGCAGGCAGAGGTGAACTCACTGCAAAGCCTCAATACAACTACAGGGTATTTTATACCCTCCCAGTCATGCACACAGGCACAGAGCAATCGATGACAGAATGCAGGGATTACAATAAAATTCTGAGGTCACCACATACAGAACAGATAATGTCAGTCAATCATACAGTGACAATGAGATTACAATAATTCTAATTGCAGTGTATTGACACTTTAGTTGAGTAACTTGAACCCATCAGGTCTGCTTAGACATGTAAATTCAAGCTACTGATGAACTGATAAGCTCATCCAGACTCAGACCCTAAGTAATGCATCTGCCCCCTTCTGAATGGCCAGGGCACATGGAGCCCTCTGGGCTAGGAAAAGATACTTCCTGGCAAACTGTGAATTCCAAGGATTATTTAATAATTGTGAAGATATACAATGTATATTTGGACTAAATGGCCTGCCTACTGTAGCTTACAGCTAAATGTGAGAGAAAGAAGCGGGGGAGGAATGCCATTTTAAACAGTGACTTAGCTTGGTTTGAGGAGTATAAGATTGCTTCCACAATGCAAAAGCACATAGAAGCAATGTTTTTCTGACAGGATTTATTCAAATTTTCCCAACATCTGCTGAGTCCTAAGTGTTGAACTGGCACTCCTCGGTGCCCCCCAACTTTAAGACACTCCCCAAGGCTCCAGCTAGATTAGGAAGGGGAGATCTTAAGGATACTCGCCTTTTGCAGCTCTTTTTTGGGGGCACTTGTGGTGGTTCCCTGATTGTTGTCAAAAAGGCCTGAGAAGATAAGCTGGATGGGACTCAGTGAATGCATCAAACTAGGAGGGCCCCCATTTTACAACCTGTATGGTTGTGCGTGTGCACGCGTGTGTGTGGGCATGCGTGCGAGTGTGTGTTTTGGTAAGCGTCTGGGAAATATGTTCTTTTTAGTTTTGACAAGGAATAAGTGCAAATGTCATGGCTGAGCAGTAAGGGAGGGGAAATATACACAAACTTCATGGCTGGAAAGAAATGGAAGAGAACTTTATGTCATCTGCATAGGGTACTCTGTTCACCCATTAAGAAATTTCAAAGTATAAATACTTCTAAGAAAGTTTCTATGAAACTCATGTTCTAAAATATCAATATTTTGAGGCAATCGTCTAATCATAAGTGATTTATCCCTGGCTTGCCAGTCCATTCCAGGAATAATTTAAAGTGCTGAATATGATATTTCGAGCCTCACATGACTTAGGATCGGGATATTTGAAAGGCCATATTCTCCTAGATCAGGGGTCCTCAAATTTTTTAACTAGGGGGCCAGTTGAAAGGCACCAGTGTTGGGTGTGGGCCGGAAAGGTGGTGCCGGCGGTGTGCGAGGACCGAGGCGGGCGCAAGAGGCAGCAGCTCGCTCGCTTGGAGATCACTTTTTCCGAGTGAGCAAACCACTGCCTTCCCGCGTGTGAGGCGAGGTGGACAGCAGCAGGCGCACACGTGGGTGCGGGCGCATGCGTGGCGTGTCCAAATGGGCATGGCGGACCCATGTCCTAGATCATTTGCCTAGGTTTGCAAAGTCTCAGGAGAGGTCCCTTCTCTGTCTGGAGGCACATTTAGCAGGAAGATGCAAAGGCATCTTTTCAGTGGCTGCTGCCAGGGTTTGGAATTCTCCACCAAGGGCTCCATCTTAGCTGCCTTTCTAGTGGCGGGCAAAGACATATTGCCTCTGATGCTGAAGGTATATACAGCCATCATGACTGATAGCAGTTGATAGCCTTACCCTGCAATTAGCCTCATCCTCATCTCTGCCACCTTTAATTTATATGCTGCTTTTCCACATAACATGCCCAAAGTAGCCCATAAGTAGAGTAATACAAAAACAAGAATGCAGGGCAAGAAATCAGTTCCAGCACGACATTATTTCCATATCAGCTGAAATCATTTACTTCAGTAGCATAACGTTTGCAATTAATTACAAAATAATTACTATCTATCACTGGGATGCAATTTTCAGTTTATCTTAATCAGTAAAATGTAAGCTAAAGGTAAATTACCAATACTTGTTATGGGATGAGCAAACACACAACCAATAACCGATTCCCCCTAAATGCAGCAATCAACAGACACACTTTATCCAACCCATGTCTACCGGCCTTTCTGCTTTCTCACTCTTGCATTCTGGCAGAGTTATTAGTGCTCCAGGGACAAGGGAGGGTGATGATTTATCTCTTCCCCCGCATTTTGGATGCTCCTCCTGTCAAAGTTATCCTCTGTGTTATTTCTTTTGATGTTTTAATCATAACTTGGTTATTTTATTGTTAGCTGCTTTGAACACTAGTTTTAGTAGAGAGGAGGAGGCGGAGGAGGAGGCAGAGGAGGAGGCGGAGGCGTGATGAAAGAGAAAAGTGATAGCCAACAGAGGATTTATATGAGTGCAACTGCCATGGATAAACAAAAGAAGTCCACACAATTATGGAAACACAGGCCACATGAGTTTCAGTAAAAATTGTACATTTTCCAAAGTCTTCACTTGACAACAAATAACTAGAAGTACTCAGAAGATGAGTTAAGTACTTTTCCTCCTTCCCATACAGCTATTTTAATCACTGCCACCTCATCAACTCACCTTCTAAGTAAGAAATGGTGTTCTGAAGAACTCCACACACCCCTTTCCTCCTCAAATATAATTATAACACAGTGATTATTAATTCTGGCACCATTACTATTTCATTTATAGACTTTGTAAAGCACCTGCTACTTGACTGTAGATGAATTAGAAGCAGAACAGGCATTAAAAATAACATAACTTGACACCTACCCAGCATCTGCTTTGATTGGGAAATCCAGAATTGCTCCATAGATAAAATGCAAAACAACTGTCATTTCTACATGGTTTATGCTGCAAAACAGAAAGAAAAATCATTACAGACACCAGCATCTACAAAATCCAATAGACAGTTCACATTTTATAAATCCTAAGTGGTTCACCAGAATTGAATAGCTGTGAACTTGCAGAACTGTCTGCCTGGCCAGATTTTGTGGCAGAATATGGACCATGACCAATCAGCCTGTGAGGTGAGCTGTGTCTTTTATCCACCACTGCTCCCTGTGCCTGTTGCATCATGATCTCAACCAGGGGACTGGAAACTCCTTCTTCTGGTCAAGCTTTCCTCCTCCTGGTCAAAATCAGAATGGCTCTCTTTACTTCTCTACCAATGGCTCTCCACCAACTTCTGCTCCGCTCACATCCTGAATTCTTTCTTTAGAAAATTTATTTATATTTATTTATTTATTTATTTATTAATTAAAACATTTCTATGCCGCCCCATTCGCCGAAGCCTCGGGGCGGCTCACAACATAAAATTAAAATACTAGAAATAACAATATAAAATAAGTCGCCCTGGCCAGATAAAATAAGCAAATAATATTAACAATTAAAATGACGCTTAAAGGTCTTACTAATTTTATCCAGAAAACCCTTTCTGAGGCCATCAGTTTCTAATGCTACTAACTCATCATTACACACTCAATACTCATTTATTAAGGCCTATCTTCACCTGCCTTTGTCTTGTCAAGCTAACCCTGACTTTAACCACAGCGGGGCCAGCTTCAGGGATGGGCATGGACAGGCTGCTGCCAAGGCCCCACGCTCCAGCAGGGCCCTCTGAAAAGACTGCCTGTAGTTCTTCCTCATCCTTACTGCTGCAGCCTGTGTGTGCGCCAGACTCTTGCTTGGGTCAGAGAATGGTGGTGGTGGGAAGGAGGGGCAGTAGATGCCCACCTACTCACTAGCTTTCTGTCTGCATAGCAAGCAAGTGGGAGCAATATAATAAAGAGGATGAAGCTCAATCACAGCCAGAACCAGCTGCCCCGAGAGGTGGTGGAACCAGCAGTGGAACAAGCTGCCTAGAGAGGTGGTGGACTCTCCCACACCAGAGACATTCCAAAAGAAACTGGACAGCCATCTGAGTGGGATGGTGCAACATGGTGTTCTGCAACAGCAGGAGGTTGGACTCGATGGCCTTCATGGCCCCTTCCAACTCTACTAGTCTATGGTTCTATGACAGTGGGGTGAGAGAGGGAGGGGACTCTGTGAGCGCATCTTGCCAAGAGCTCTCCAGAACTATGAAGCCAGAACTGATTAACTGCATGGAGTAATTTCTATTAAACAGAAGATCTGGAAAGTGTTTTTCATTGCAGCTTTATTCTAATGAACAGAAACCCAAGAGCAAGAGGCTTGCTTCTTGAGTTCTTGTGAATGGAATGCATCTCATGGGATGCTCCTATGAGTGGAAAGGGGAAGGAGAAATTTCTGCCAATTACCTCTCCTTTCCACAGCCCCTGGTATGTCTGCTCTGTGGGGCTGGGGAACCAGACTAAAGTATAGGAGGTGGAATGGAGCCTGCCTGGGAAGCTGCAGAGGACACCATCCATCCCTTCTTCCATGAGAATACAGTCCCTTTAGGAAACAGAAGGCTAACTGGGGATACTACCAAATGCATTCCAGTGAATTAATCCTTCATTTCAAGATATGGCTTCCATAACGATAAGTGGGAACTGTGATATCTACTGTGACATATGGCTTCTCTGAAGATTCAGTAATAGTGACATTCTTTATTTTTGGTTAAGTGACAATATCAACACAGTTGTTTGACTATATGTGAGCACATGAGGTAGCCATAAAAGCAGCAGGAACAGGCAGTCCTGCTGCCTTGGCAGCTGGCCTCTCAAACAGCATTTTCATTGTTTCATGATAAGCCATATGCATGGCACTCTCAAGCGCTTAGTGAAACAAGCAACCTGAAAATCTGCCGTGGGTGGATGGGGTGAAAGGGGACATTTCCAGAGCAACAGTAGCTCATTTCAAACCAGGGCTTGATTCTGGTTTGCAATCCTTGTTTGCTGGGCAAGCACAAACCAGACCTTGCTATAGTTTGCCACGGCAAACTCTGAAGCTGGCAAGTAGGTGGCAAAGGAGCTTATCAGCCAAGTTTTCTTCTAGGCTCTTTCTCAGGGAACTGAAGATGGTCTGGGATTCTGTCTGAATTAAGCCAATGTACCTTATGCTCCAGGACTGAAAAAATGAGGGTCTCGGTTAAGGCAGAAACACAGTGATGAAGAGGCAACATGTGGGTTGCAGCTGAGGGGCCAAGGGCATGCAAGAGCAGGCCCCTGGAACTTGATACCCTCCAGAAGTGCTGGACTACAACTCCCAGCTTCTCCCAGTCAGCCATGCTGGGTTGGCACGACTGTGCAAGAAGCTTTCCACTCATATAATGAGACTTCTCTCTCTCTCTTGCTTTAAACTAGAGGAACATTTACTCAAAACAGCCCAACTTCCAGACTGAAGTTGCATACTCAAGAACACATTTAGCCCTCATCTGCTGTTCATAAGAAACAAAACTGAACTATTTCACTACCAGGGCTTGCTCCCTATCTCTTGGTGCTTTATGATACTTAAAGAATTCAGGTTTCCTGCCTCATTAGAAGATGTTTCTTTAAACAATGCTTTGTCTGGACCACAATCAGGGATGTGCAAAGAATCCATTTGGGGGTGGGCTCCCTGGACTCACACCCACATGCCACCACTGCTGCCAGCAGCTGTAAATGGGGAAGGAGTTGGGTGCACTGCCCCTTTTCTACATCCTGCAGCGGCTCCTGATGGGACAGTTGTAGGTTGCACAACTGGTTTGGACAATATGCTAAACTGTGGTTAATCTCAAACACACACATTTAATTACCTCCTCGAAGCCACACCAAAGAAAGAGAGGGAAGGAGAGAGCATGAGCTCAAAGCTTGCTGCAGCTTGTTCAGTGGGCACATTTTAATAAAGTGCTGGGAGTATGCTCAGAAAATGGCTGCCATGGGTGGTTCCTAGTCACAAACCAGTTGTGTGGCACCCATTTCCCAGAAGGACAATCAGTGAAACTGAAGGAAGAGTAATTTGCCCAAGAGCCTGGGTGCAAGACAGAGGTGGAGACAGAGCTACAAATGCCAAAGCACACATGTGCTCTCAACAAAGCACAACCAAATACCCATTTCCCAGATGGAAAACTGGTGATGGAAAACTGCTCAGTGAACACAGCCATGCCAAACCACACACTCCCTCAAAGAAAATATACACATGGACACATTTGCACACAGAGATTAGACGAAACAGAACCATATGCCCCACAAGAACTCGATATACTTTAGGCCCCTGGGCACTTCCTATAACCTCCCAGCCCTTTTCTCCCACTGAATGGCCAGGCATGCTTCAAAATGGAATATTGGGCTGCAGCCAGCCACCACTTTTATTTTCTAAGAGTGTGCCTGGGGCTCACAGGAGTTCAGAGACATTCTTGGGAAAAAGATGCCATTGGAGGTTGGTACTTCACACTATAGCACATCAGCTTCCTTACAGGTTATTTTTTATTTTACAGGTTATTTTAACCTGTAATAATATTGATGATAATACAGTGGTGCCTCATACTTCAAACTTAATTCATTTCAGGAGCCCATTTGAACTCTGAATTGTTCAAAGTCTGAATCAGTTTTCCCCATTAGAAATAATGGAAAGTGAATTAATCTGTCCCCAGGCCCTAAACAACACCCACTTCAATAAACTTAAACAGCAAACACGACCTTTTGAAACAAGTTAAGTTTGAAGTGTGAGGACCACTGTATTAGAATTTGTTAGTAATGTTATGTTAGTACATTTACTGTACCGTAGTGAGAAGTGGTTTTACATATATAACCAAAAATTGAAGCAGAAAAAAAGCACTGAAAATGCTTGTACTGAAAACATGAGTGTTATGCAAGTTGTTTTAGAATGAGAGACAATTTGAGCACACAACAGATGACGTTTACGCTGTGACTGCATTTATGTCACGTCACATGCAGTTTGAGCACAGAAGCATTGTTTGAACTTTGGAGCAATTTTATCTCAACTTTAATGTTCGAACTCTGGATCATTTGATGTTAGAGTTGTTTGAACTACGAGGCACACCTTTCATAGTAAGGTGCAATACATTTTTAGACAGAAAAGTTCTACAACTTCCAGCTTCCTTCCAGATAGCCATGCTGGCTGGGGCATGCTAAGACTCCCAGGACTTTTTTTTTTTGTCTAATCATGCATGGGATTGTGCCTTTATGCAAAAAAAATATCAGGAGAGCAAACCTGGCAGGACCAAGGGACGGGTCCATAGGAACCCCAGCACTGAATTATGATTAGCACTTTGCTCAAGCACAGCCCTTGCCTAAGGTGCTACATAGTTCCCAAGTTTCACTCCTTCTCTTAGCACTGACTGGACCAAGTCTAACTCTCAATGGCATACAACATTAATGTAAATATTTAGATAGCCTTGGACTCCCAGCCTGTGATTCTTACTTCAAGGCCCCCCAACTGAGGAGGTGCTCTTTCGCCATTCCTTCCCAAGTAATCCTTTTCCTGAAACCTGTAATGCTGGTGGCTATGAATTAAGATGTGATCAAAGAACTAAGCAGTCACCTGCAATTTGTCATGAAAATCTGCTTATTCTGTCAGAGTGAGTGGGACTGGGCCAGTGTGATGCCTCCCAGTAAAATACTGGGAAGCACCCTCTCATATCTGTACTCTCATATAGTAGGGCCAGCCACATTTCTGGGGCTTCCAAACTGGAAGAAGATGCCACTTTCTGTACAACAGTATATAGATGATTTGCACCCACTATCATTATTGTGATAGCCAAGGTACTAACATGAATGCGAAGAAGATAAATTGGAGAGCATCTCACCAGCATTTCTTTGGACTTTTGCAACCTAGTTGGCAGTACATTGTATTGGGCTTTCCAGTTAAATGGTTAAGACACTTTATTCCATGCCCCCCTTCTATTTTAAATGCTCCTTTTTATTTGAATGTAAGAATAACTATTTGGTTTTGGAACACTACTAATAAAGAGTTGTATCCAATGGTAGTTTTGCACCAGTGAAAAACAATTCTGTTTACTTAAGGCAAAGTACCTAGTTTTTGCCATTCCTTCCCTAGGCTTTTCCTACTGCAGTCTTCTGAACTCCAGACTATTCTCCCATCCTGCAGGAACAACCTTTTGGGAGACATGGTGGGTTGCGCTGAGTAAGAGAGGTCAACAAAATTGAGGTGCCCCACGTTCTACAAGTGAAAGTGTTTTTCATTAGTATAACCTTCCAACACCTGGCAGCCCCCCACCCCAGATGCTTTGAACTACAACTCCCAGCTTTCCTAACCATTAGTCATGCTGGATGGAGTTGATGGGAGCTTATGTTCAAAGCATCTAGACTTCCCAAAGCCACTACTGCATGCAAACAAAATAAACAGTCTTAAGCTAAATTGAAAGGACAAAATGTGCTCAATTCTCTGGAGACCCTCCTCACTCTGCAACAAAATTCTTCCATGCTAACTTTGACTGAGGAGTATGTCAACACCGATTCTGACCAGTGATTTTAACCATAAGGCTAACCAGGTGTGCAACCCAACAAATCTATCACCTACCAAGGGCTACTGATGTTGCATAGACATTGGTTTACATTAGTGCAACATCAATGAAGTATCAGTTGTTGGGTGGTATAGAAATGAATGAATGAATGAATGAATGAATGAATGAATGCATCATGGTAGTGTGCAAACACTGCAGGATCCTTTCCTGTGGTTTGAAATGGGCTCTAGATTCCAATTTAAAAGAAATGCTGATGAACCTTAACCAAGTTTATACTAGTTAGCGACAAACTACTCAATCATCCAAGGAGCTGTGATGCAGAGAGAAGGCAGGTTGTCCTCCTTTTTTGTTACCCATGGTTGGCAGGCAAGGTGTCTTACATTTTAACCAGCTATATACCTTATGGTAAAAACAAAGAATCATAAAAAGAACAATAAATGGAATCTGCATTAACTGCACTTCAGTGAAAATGCTACAATTTTGACTACGCTAGTCAATGGCTTTGCAATGCAGATTTTCCATAGTCAAAAAATATCAGAAATTTATAGAGATTTTTATGCATAGAGATGTCTATGCATCATAGAGATTTTCCATAGTCAAAAAATCAGAAATCTGGTTCAAATATATTGCACTGAATAGAGTATCAGGAGAGATTAATTTGAATTGCTTTGTATGCAGCTTGGTTGCTCCGAATTACCTGTGATTTTAAATTGCCTATCTTCGCTCCCATATGACCTGCAAACAACTCTGCTTACCCTTGAAGAGTAATGTGATCTTGAGAGCTTTCAGCCCAGCTCCCATTCAGCATAGCGGCAAAGTAACTGGATCTGGCACATAAAATGGCCCTGGGAGAAGGAAAGGTAGAGAAATAGAAGAAAAGAGTAAACATCATTCTACTAGATCCAAATACTTATTTTAGGAAAGCTGTTAGAGAAAGGTTGAAATCCTCTGCCCTTTACATTCTAAGGTATGTCCGCTTACTGCATACTTATTCCTTCCAATATATCTAGCAATTTAATCCAATTTGTCACAGAATAGAGAAAACTGCTATCATCCTGAAATGCCTCCAGTTAACTGCTAATGCACAATTCATTTTCATTAAACAAGGCTGAGTGTTTGTGGCTGGTGGTGGTGGAGGGAGAGATGATTCTCAGATTGCTAGATACCTGGTTGTTTTCCTCCTTTAACAGATAGCAATGCTATTTTCCCCTCTACAGACCTTTCATCTTTCTGACAAACAAGGAAATGGGCTTTTGTGGGCAAATCTGCTGTTTAATATTATGTGACAATCTTACCACAGACTTTCTAGAATGACTAATTCTGTAAAAGGATGCATGTGAAAAATAGGTTCTAAGTAGCTGAATTCTCTCTCTCTCTCTCTCTCTCTCTCTCTCTCTCTCTCTCTCTCTCTCCACACACACACACACACACACACACACACACACACACTCCATACCCAAACTAAGCTTTCCTCTGGGGAAAAAAAACTTTTTCAAACTCAAAGCACAAGTTTCATCTTGCTATTCTCTAACCGAAGATCAACCACCTCATGTATTTTGGAACAGCATAAAAAATTCTTGCGTGGTGCTGCATGTTCACATAATGTGTGAACTGCTATTAGGGCTTGCATCCTAAAGCAGCTTTCACTCAGAACACAATTCAAGTTCGCAGGCACTGAATTCGCAACTGATCAATGCAGAATGGACATAAGCAACTTCATTTGCCTTCTTTCATGTTTGAAAAGCTAACTTCTTTCCTTAGTCAAGAAACTACCATCAATTTCCATCTCATACAATTTTTCTGAAATTCCTAAATGTAGCATCTAGCAGTCATTGCAGTGATACAATGTTCTTTCATGCTTTGCCCTTTTTGTCCCCATTGTTATATTTCCTATACATTTCAGCTGATTCGTTTCTGTTCCCTTATTAGAGAAAACACGTTCTCATTTGCATGCAGAACATAGCTCACAACAGATAGAATCTAACATTATGCAAAAAGAAGGATATTCATGCAATGTGAATTCCTCTTCTCTTCACTTCTCTTCTCCTTGTAGCACCCCACCCGCCCAACAATCATCCTAGAAGGGATGGGGAATCACAGTTCATCAGTGGAAAAACTTGACTAGATTTCTCGCAACGTTCTTCCTCTTTGAAAGCATAATTAATCTTTAATGATCAGGTATAGCATTTTTAAAAAAATTATAAAGATCTAAGGGCCAATTCATGCCTACCCTGCTGAGGAATTTTTTAAGCAATGGGATATGCCTTATGCAAAAGACGATATATAGAAAGATTTGAAAGGTTTGCACAGTCCTATAAATGGTGGTAGATACTTGTTAACACATTAACATCCTTCTTCCCCTTCACACAGACATACTTTCTAATTCACAATGTGGTAACTAGGACACTTTACAGAAAGAGAGAGAAAGAAAAACATTTCCCTCAGCTTTATGCAAATACAATGTGGCTAAGAGACCAACACAACTGAACATTTGAGAATAGATCAGCATTTCCAAGCTTCCTTCCTTTGACAAAAGCCCGCTAGGGATGCAGCCCTAAGCAAGTTCAGGCAGATAAAAAGCCTACAACCCCAGGCATGCCCCAGCCAGCCCTGCTATGCCTGTCTAAACTTGCATAGAATTGCACTTTAAAGTATTATTCTAAGGAATGCTATTGGCACTCAAAATACCTGTGCACTTCAAATGGTTTTCCATCAATCCAAATATTAATATCTGAAAACCAGGATTTCTCGTAGAGCAGCAACAGGTCTCTTCCCAAGTCAGATGCAGTTTCTGTTTTATTAGTAACAGGGGAAAGAAAAATGACTGTTTGTATATGTTCTCAATGTTTTGAAATCCATTTAAAAAATTCTTCATGTTATACAAACAAGTTGCATGCTTATATATAGTATATATTTAAGAGGGGCCGTAATGTAATGGCAGAACACACGTTGTGCATCAATAAGATACCAGGGTCAATCCCTGCTAAAACCAGCCCTCTGAAAGTAGATTCTGTTGTCTATATATTGACTGGGAGGAAGGCATTTCTCTGTGCTGCAACCAATAAAGGCAAAGCCACTGTCTTTTAGAGCCTATGTAACAAAGAGCTCTAATTTGCAATAGCCGAAGCTCATCAACACCAACATTTCACTGACTGGGTACTTTTATATCACTTTCCAGCACTGATGAGGCAATTCTTATGATTCAGAAAAGAAAAAGTTTCATATGAAACATCCGGTAAACAAAAGTCATTCTTTTAATGAGGATATGCCATGTTGCATGCAATGGCACATTATATATTCCTCTCTTCCTCCACTGTCTGCATGCGTGCCTTTTAGACTGTGAGCCTGTGGCACTGTCCTGTTTGTTATTGTCTTTATTGATACTATGAAAGTCTCTCCAGGGGTCCTTTCAGCTGAAGAGCAGGGTAAAATGATTTCAATCTATAACATTAAAAGAGGATGCGCCTGTCATGAATGTAGTTACTTGAAACTTGGCTTGATACCAAGGAGATCCCCGGGGTTTGTACCTTAGAGTTCCTTTGTTTTTAAAATGAAGCAATTTTATTATCTATTTATTTATTTTAAAATTATACCATCATTCATTAAAAATCTCATGACAGTTTATGGCATTAAAAACAATTCATTCAACAATTAAACAATTAAAAACTCCCTAGTGCCTGTACTTGATGCTAAAATAATTAAAATATGATTTAACAATTTAAACACTGGGTAAATAAAGTTTTGGCCTGGTGTCAGAACAAATAAATTAATGGCACCAGGCACACCTCTCCCAAACCCAAGTTCCATAATCAGTATGCTATAGCAGAAAAGGCCCTCCTTCTTGTAACAGCCCTCCTCAACTCTTTCAAGGAGGGCTCTTAGAGGAGGAACTGCAGATGATCTTAAGGTCCATGAAAGCTCATATGGAATAAGAGGTTCCCTTAGATAACCAGGCCCTAAACTGTTTAGGGCTTTATGTGCCATCATTAGCACATTAAGTTGGGCCTGAACTTCAACTGGTAGCCAATGTAGCTGATATAGAACCACCATAATATGTTCTCATCTACCGGTCCCAGTCAGCAATCTGGCAGCTCTATTTTGAACCAACTGCAATGTCCAGACAGTCTTCAAGGCCAGCCCCATGAAAAGCATGTTACAACAGTCCAAGTGAGAGGTTACCAATGTGTAAGTTACGGTTGCTAGGACTTGTCTGTCCAAGTACGGACACAGCTAAAGGACCAGCCTTAGCTGAAGGAAAGCACTCCTTGCCACAGATGTAACAGCAGGGGGCTGGACCTGATTCTATAGAATTTTGAGATTCTATGAGATTCCAGGGATACGAGTAACTCTGGGTAAAAGAGTACTCCCAAGCTGCCTACCCTGTCCCTTGGGGCAGGGGAGGAGTGCAACCCCATCCAAGACAGGGCAAATATCACTCACTTGAACAGCTGGCCCACCCACCAGAAACATTTCCCTCTTATCTGAATGGAGCCTCAATTTATTGGCCCTCATCCAGTCTATCACACCATCCAGACACCTGTTTCAAGCACTCACCACCTCACCTGGATTGGATAAAATGAGAGGCAGAGCTGCGTGTCATCAGCATATTGATGACTCCTCATCCCAAACCTCTGGATGACCATTCCCAGCAGTTTCATGTAGATATTGAAGGGGATAAAATGGAACCCTGCAGAACCCCAGGGCCATGGTGCAGAGCCAAAATCCCTTAGCTACACCATCTGCAATTGGTCAGCCAGGTAGGCTTTATGGCAGTCTGTTTGTAAGTATGGGTTGTTCGTAGCTCAGATGTTTGTAACTCCGGGACTTGTTTAACTGTATTAAACTATGAGGTATTCCAACCCATACAAAGTCAAGCCTATTGGCTAGTTAATGCAATTATCTCCATCACTCTTATTGAACATTTATTTCTGCCAATATTTTTCACTAAAACAATAGTGAAAAATCAAAGAGAATGGAGCTAGAATGCATCCCTTCTTAGCACCTAGAGCAGTTCTGCTCTTATGCAATAAACCAGTGTAAGGACTGCAGCCTCTATATATCCATACAGTGCTATCTGAGTGACACAAGGCTTATATACTACGGAACTGAGTTGCAATTAAGAATTATCAAATGTGACATTGCCAGTGATGTAACTGTGAAGCTTATTTGTAGCAGCTAACAAACTCACACTGGCATTTGGGTAGGCAAAAAAAAAAAAAATCAAAACACTATTTTAACCTCACCTGACACAGTTGCATTGCCTTTAGCATCAACAGCTTCTTCAGGAATTTTATTTGCAATAAAAGGAGATGCAGCAGTTTCTGTTTCTGTTGTTCCATTTGAGGAATACTGATGCCCAGATGGCCTTTCATGATTTTCCAGCCACTGTGCAGCTGATATTTGACCATTCTGGGGATGGCTGACCTGAAGACTTTCATCTTCTTTTGTTAATCTAGCCTTTGATACTTCCTTCTTGAGAACCTCTTGCTCAGCCTCTTTCATGTTTCTGTCAGATGAATACACAGCCCTAGGAAAAGAGAGTCAGGCTGCAATTCCATACACAGTTATTTGGGAGCAAGTCCCACTGATCTCAGTGGGATTTACTTGTTTGATATACCCCACCTTTCTACCAGGAAACTGTATTCAGAGTTGCTAAGAACAATAGAAACTAAAATGAACACACACACACCAATAATCATAAAAATACATTGAAACACAATTTAAAAACACCGGAATAAGAACATTGGAAGAGCCTTGCTGGATCAGGCTGAAGGTTCATCTAGTCTAGCATTTTGTTTGCAAAACTGCCACTTAGTTGCCCACAGGAAACTCTGAAGTGCACTTTGCTGCCCATATTCCCCAGCAACTGGGATACATAAGCATACTGCTTTTGATACTGGGGGTAGCATACAGCCATCAGGACTAGTAGCCATTGTTAGCTTTACCTCCATGAATTTGTCCAGTCCCCTTTCCCCCTCCGTATCTTTTAAAAGTGAACTCTACAGTTCATCCATGCATCATATAGAGAAGCACTTTCTTTAATCTGTTCTGAAGCTCCCATCCACGAGATCCTGTGATGCTGGCCCAGAATGAGCGACATTCAGTTTCATCTTCTGAACTGGCAAAAATAATACTTTACCAGTGGGAAAGATGGCTGCATCTGTTAGAAATAGCATACAACCTTCAATGCCCAATAAAGTCAGAATACTTCTTTAAAATTAAACATTAAACTATATTTCTTCTTGGTAACTACAGAACTCAAGTTAATTTCTTTGGGAAAATGCCCAGAAAGCCATTTCCTAGAAGGACTTGCTTGGTGATATGCATGAATTTACGGAGTGTTAAAAGGGCATGCATTCCCTTTAATGCATGAACACTCTTGTCCAAACTTTTTCTAAAATGACCTCCAGACAGACATTCTAAACTGTGCGCTGCAATCAGATGAAACTTGTCTGTGTTTATTATTTAATTCATCACATTTTTTAAAAAAATGCAAGATAGTTGCTGGATTGAAATGCCTTGTCTGAAAGCTATAACACTCTGGCATCAGACAACCATCTAAATTACAAATGCAAAATTCTTCCCTTAAGAGAATATGCTGACTGGATTGCTAAACACCTGGCAATCACGGGGGTTGACAGACTTTCAAACCCCTCAAGTAGTGGATGAGTTCACATGACACAGCAACCCACCCCACCCTGCAAATAAGCTGATCAGTGTGGGCCATTCATGGAACCAACGGAGCACCTGACAGAGGATCAGGGTTACCACTGGTTGTTTCCTTCTCCATCTGGACCCTCCAGTCCTCCATGTAATATCACAGCTCAGGGTGACAGGACTCACTGTGTTTTATTTAACAAAAATACCATCGAATATATAAATTGAAGCTATAGTTTCCACAGCAGTGAACAACCAAATCATTACCAGTCATTCTGATGTTGATAGAACCAGGATGTTCAGGCGCCTAAAAAGCAGGACAGTAGAAAAGCAAAAATAATGCAGGATTAAAAAAGAAATGGAGCAGGGAGACTGCCCATCCATGCTCCAATTGTAGACTAGCTTTTGCATGGAAAACTGGTCTTTTACTCCTTCTAAAATAGATAGCTTTTTGCATATTTCAATGTATCATAATTTACTTGAACTAGTAATCTCTTTTCACTAACATGACAAAAGTGGAATTAATTTTACATCACTGCACAACTGAAGAATGAGGAAAAAATTAAACAAAATATATTGGCTCCTTTAAATATATGAATTAAAATATGTACAACCCCACCACCACCAAAGAAAGCACAAAATTTTAAAGAGACAGCAGAGATGAGGCAAAAGACCAAAGATATAAAAAAATAAGATTTATAAGTCCAAGAATAGGAATACCCCCAACAATAGCAGCTATTGATAAAAACTCTCATTTCTTCCATTGATTTTGTTATATTTCAAAGGCCATAGACAGAAATAAGACAACTTAATTATTCTTGCACTATAGGTGGTTCAAGTTATAGTAGTAAATACAATACAGTGGACCAAAACAATTCCAGGAAAAGCTGGACCGTTATATATCAATGGACAATATACTCCTTCATCCAGTATCAACGCAAAACTAGCATTAGTTGCATCTGGGGGCATTTTGTTATCCCAGACAAAAGTGCCTCGGACAAGGCAAATGTGGCACTGGAAAGGTTTTTTTTCCCTGGATTTCCCCCCAAAGGGGTTTCAGTCAACATAAGAATAGTTTACAGCTTTCAGTAAGTATAGGCAACTTAAGAGTTAATCTTTCTTGAAGCTATTCATAACAATAAAATCTGCAAAGCAAGGCTTGGGTATTGACCTTAGCTCTGCATAACAATAATTTGGTCTACAAGCTTTGAACAATAAAAAACCAGCCTTCCCTCAATGGATTTTAATTCTGTTTGCTGGAGGTCATAGCTTAAAATCTAGCTTTCAAAAGAGACTAAGGTGACCTTCTTTTGTTTCTTTCTTTGGGATATAAAAAGTCCATAAAATTGTTGTTCTGAAATTTTGGCAGCCTTTTTATGTTCCTGGCATGTTTTGGTTTACAGAAAAGATAAAAGCAAGGCGGAAGGCTGAAATTTTGGGACCTTTTAGATTAGCTCATGACACTGTCCTTGAATGACTAGACTGTATCTATATGCAAATTACACAAGAGAATATGAGCTGGGGGCGCTCCAAAGCCGCCAACATGTGGGAAGGTTAAATATTGTAGCATTTCCGGTAGTGAAATTATCTACTAATGTTACAGTATATTTAAGGATATCCCATTTTTGTGAACAGCCATTAATCTGTAGAAAAACCTTCTCTAGGTAAGCAGATATATAACCTTTGCAGATGGTCCCAACTGGGACAGATAGAATGTAGATATTTCGGGCCACAATTTATTAACATAGGCAAGTATGGTAAAGAAGGCTATTATGAATGCCTTAAGGCAGGGGTCCTCAAACTTTTTTACCAGGGGGCCAGTTGAAAGCTGGCCGGGCGCGGGCCGGATGGTGGTGCCAGCGGGGTGCGCGGGCCGGCATGGGGGCGGGGGCGTGGGTGGCGCATGCGGGCAGCAACACTGAGGTGGGAGCAGGGTGCGCAATGAGGTGAGATGAAGCGTGGGAGGGTGCACACGGTGAGGGGAGGCGAGGCGAGGTGGGGGCAGGCACGGGCCACGAGGCGGGCACACGAGGCAGCGGGTTTCTCACTTGGAAATCATTTTCTCCGAGAGAGCAAACTGCTCGTTTTCTCCAAGTGAGCAAACCATCCACAGGGTGAGGTGCAGAGCAGCAGGTGTGAGCGCGGGGAAACATGTGGTGGGTCTAAATGGGCATGGCGGGCCGGATCCAGCCCTTTTATAGTGCAGCCCTATTGTACAGCCTTAGTTTGAGGACCCATGCTTTAAGGACTACTAATTGTCAGAAATGAAAAATTACTGTTACTAAGCGGTAAGGTGAAAACTGAAAAAGGGTGGAATAAAGGGCTAGGGTAGGATCATTGAAACCTCTTCAGGCCAAAGGGCCTGAGGACAGAACCATGTAGATAGTTGTAATAAAAGTAACAGTGCTTCTTACATCAACGTCCTGAAGAACACAAGGGGGGTGAAGTTGGGGGGCAGTGGTAAAACTGTCACCTTTTGTGGAAGGGAGTAGGAAATTGATTGCCTTTTACAACTGACCATAATGAGCCTGGAGGAAGGCCTGTTCGTCCTATCTCATCCTCCCACAAGAGTTAGGAAATAAGTGGGCATCAAGTGAGAGGCTACACGGCCAAGCCGACCTGTTGAACTCTTAGAAGGTAGTGCGCATGCTTAATAGGTTCATGAATAGTAACTGACACACCCCTCATAGGTAATGGGCTCATTAGCATGAACATGGAACGTATGAACGGGAAGGGGAACGTATCAGGAAGTGGTATGATGTAGGCAGACGGTGAAGATCGTAAACTCTTAGTAACCCAGCCAGTGGGAGAAAAGAGGTAGGGTCTGCGAGCCGGGAAAAGGGAATAAAAAGCAATGTCTTGTGTGAAAACGGGGCGCTGCCTGTGTGGTGGGTGCCCACTCTTGCAAGAACGTATTAAACTGTCACTGCTTGGTACTTTGCCTCCCGTATCGTCACTGCTTGGATTTCATTCCTTACTGCAAGAATTTCCATGACTGTCATAACCATGAGTTATTAGTCTTTTCTTATAACCAATATGGTAGTTCCTCTGGGGCTGAGTTTTTAGGCATGGAAAAACTCCATGTTGCTAAACTGTAATTTTCTTGTGAATGGCCTGCAGATCAAGATCCTGCTCAATCCTCAGATGGAAAGACTGAACCTCACATGCCCCCTTGGAGACTTGAACCCCCTTGAACCTCACAGCTGCCCTTACCTGGAGTGGCTTGCCTAGAACTTCTTACCTGGAGCTGATATATGCGATTTCACTCCTACAAGCTGACGTGGGAAGGAAATCATAAAATCAAAGGAAAAGGAGGAAAATGCTGCCCCCTCTGCCCTTTTACTCTTTAGCATGAATCTGGCATAAGTGTGGATACAGCAGCTTGTTTACCTTGGGATCCCTGACATGGCACATAGGATTGCTCCTATGGGTGCAATTCTATCACAAGGACCGTAAGTCCTTGAACTCAGAGGTTTATGAACATCCTATCTGGGGCACGAAGAGTGGCAGGGGCTATTTTTGCCTCACTGTCCTCCCACCCTGCCTTTTTGGTAGACAGTAGCAAAGCATTTGAAAGGGGAAAGTAAGCCTCAGGATAATGCATATCCTAGCCTGTCTAATCTCCTTTCCTCCCTGATCAAGAATATACTCCATTTTCCTCTTCTCTGTGGTTGCTTTTCAAACCTGAGAGAGCAGGTGATGTAGTACTTTCTGTGCCAGCAGTGAGGAGAAAGGGTGTCAGAGCACCAACTGTTTCTTTGAATCTGGAAATCTGAAGTAACCTATAGATCTTCAGATGCTTTTTAGAAGTAAGATTTCTTGCTAAGAGATTTAGTACTAAGAGTTCACTATCCACTATTAATCACAGCA